GGTGACCGGGTCCGACGGGGCCGCTACGCCCAGGCCTCACGCCGACCGGTCCGGCCACTTCAGGCCGCTCCACTCCAAGTCGGGAGCGATCATACTCCAAGTGTCGCGTCACAGCGCCCCTTCCTGCCTCGATTATCCGCCGACAACCCTTCAATCCTCCACGTCGATTACAACGCCAGATTGCAGCGGTTTGTGTGGTCTGACATAGTGGTGTCACTTCGTATACTTCTGAAGGCCCAGTAATGTCAGATTTTAACAACGGGCATATGTCGATGCATGCAAAGGGTGACTATTGAAATGGCCATCGCAGACCAAAAGGGCTCTACTGCCACCCTCACCGGAAGGCTCTACTGCCACCAAAACCAAGTCTCGCCGAAAGTGGTTTGCCGGTAAAACCACCTGCAGCGGCACTCTACATTGGCTTCATGCAAAACCGCATCCGTGACAGCGCTACCCACGGGCGGAGTAGCCGCCATGCTATCACCAGCAGACCGCACGACAAGCCAGAACAGGTGGCGGCAAAGCCCAGTTCTGGGCGCACGTGTGGCTGCGCGCGGCACGCAGCTCCGATGGTGCCAGCCGGCCGCTCAGCTGCTGCACGCTCACAACCGGAGCCGCCGCGAGGCGCGTGGTCCACAGGCCCCGAGACACCCGTCAGCTGACGGCCCGCGAGCCCTGAGATGCCCGTCAGCTGACGGTCCACAGGCCCCGAGACACCCGTCAGCTGACGGCCCGCGAGCCCTGAGATACCCGTCAGCTTACGGTCCACAGGCCCCGAGACGCTCGTCAGCTGACGGCCCACAGGCCCCGAGACACCCGTCAGCTGACGGCCCACGAGCCCTGATATACCCGTCAGCTGACGGTCCACAGGCCCCGAGACGCTCATCAGCTGACGGCCCACAGGCCCCGAGACACCCGTCAGCTGACGGCCCACAGGCCCTGAGACGCTCGTCAGCTGACGGCCCCGAGACACCCGTCAGCTGACGGTCCACAGGCCCCGAGACACCCGTCAGCTGACGGTCCACAGGCCCTGAGACGCTCGTCAGCTGACGGCCCACAGGCCCCGAGACACCCGTCAGCTGACGGCCCACAGGCCCCGAGACGCTCGTCAGCTGACGGCCCACAGGCCCCGAGACACCCGTCAGCTGACGGCCCACGAGCCCTGATATACCCGTCAGCTTACGGTCCACAGGCCCCGAGACGCTCGTCAGCTGACGGCCCACAGGCCCCGAGACACCCGTCAGCTGACGGCCCACGAGCCCTGATATACCCGTCAGCTGACGGTCCACAGGCCCCGAGACGCTCATCAGCTGACGGCCCACAGGCCCCGAGACACCCGTCAGCTGACGGCCCACGAGCCCTGATATACCCGTCAGCTTACGGTCCACAGGCCCCGTGACACCCGTCAGCTGACGGCCCACGAGCCCTGATATACCCGTCAGCTGACGGTCCACAGGCCCCGAGACGCTCATCAGCTGACGGCCCACAGGCCCTGAACGCCGTCAGCTGACGGCAGGCTCGCGGAAGACAACGGCCAATGTGGGAGCAAACGCTTGCAGGATTGACGGCGGGTAATCAGTGTTGCTGGGCAACGCTGCCAGCCACGCTACTGTCGTGATCAGACCGGTGGCGTTAGTCACGGAATGATACCGCAAAGTCCGTCACACTCCTACTGCAGTACAGAACCACAGCTGTTCAATCAACGCCGACACAACTTGCAAACTCGCCGCCGTCCAGACGCAGACGAGTTCCGAGTTCCCATCCGCCTTTGTCGAGACGCGGACGGCCCTTCGCAACAGTGCCGGCAATGCCCCTTCGCCGCCCGCCGGGAGGAGCGCACGGCTTGGGTGGCGGGCGGACCTTCGCAGTAGCGCCGGACGGACCCCCCCCCCCCCCCCCCCCCCCCCCTGCCGCCCTGCCGCCAGGAAGAGAAGCGCGGCTCGGGTCCCGGCGCGGTCAGCTGAGCGGCTGACCCAGTGCCGTCAGCTGGCCGCCCTCAAGGTCACGGCCAGCTGGCCGCCGGCCCAAGCCGGACGCGCCGACCACCAGGGTCACTGACCCTGCACCGGGCCAGACAATGAACCGGGCCGCCACGTGGCCGCAAGAGTCTACTGCCCATCGCGTCGTCCTGCTCCGCTCTTCGTGCACGACGTCGCCAGCGCCGGGCTCAGAGAAGGGCTTTAAATGCCGCCCCTTTTTTGCATCTGGTTGCGAGCCACACGCCCGGTTATTGATCACACCCGATTGACGAGGCTATAAATGGCATCACCAGGCATGCTCCGCTATCCGTGCACAACACCGCAAAGGGGGCATCCTGCGATCACTATGGAATCGCGCCGCATTCGTCAATAGTCGTAAGCAAACTAAATACCGAATAGTCAAACCGGCCTGACGTGCCCATAACGGCGACCAATGGCAGCGGGCTCCGGCAGCGGCGGCGGGAGGGGCGCGACGGCCCGGATGTCGGCGAGGGGGCGCTGGCCGGCGGCGGCAGGTCCGGCACCAAGGTCAGCGTCGGCCGGCGCCGCTGACCTCGCCGCCGGCGGCCAGCGCCGCGACGGCCGCACCGGGGTGAGCCGGCCGCTGTGGCCCGGCGCCGGCGCCGGCGACCGGCGCAGGCACGGGCCCGGCGCCACCACCGACGCGCACCACCCAGCCGACTGCGACAGGCCGCCAGCGTCGTCAGGCGCAGCCGAAAGCCCGCGCAGACAACGCCTGTGCTATCGCATTCAAGCATGGAGCCGCCTTATGTCGAAGGCCACTGCAGAGCGCGCGGACCGCTGTGTGCACGGAAACTATCTGCAACATCAGATAAACGAATAATCGTCGGCCTGCATAAACAGGGAATAACTGATGTGTCAACATCTGACGTTTTCATGCCGACATTATCCCCCGCACCACAGATCGGGGCACGACCAGGAGCACATACCGCCATATGTGACACTGCCTTGTCTAAATTTTTAACGCCGGCACATGGAGTTCTTAGAAAGTGCGAAGGAGGGCGACAAAGCCTATTTAAAGTTAATTTTCCGGGTATGGCCATCAGCCTAATACTAAATGTTCTCAAAAAGCGGAAGGCGGGGGGGGGGGGGGGTATGGCCCCTGGCTCCCACGTACGTCCATGACACTTTATGCAAAAAACATGAACTCCGCATTGCGATATTCGATACCAGACCTTGCGAGAACAAGGTGAGCAAAAAAAAAAAAAACAACAACAACGACAAAAAAAAAACGGAAAAGATCAAACCAAAGAATCAAAGCGAAGTACCCCAAGAGAGAGTGACAGTTGCCCCGCATAATCATTATTTGTCCTGTTTTCAACAATGCCCCCACCTTTTCGGCATTGGAACAGCCCTATCATTTAGTTTGTCTTACCCCGACCGGTTCACCATTGCTTAACACGCTTTATCTGAATATCAGTATTCAATGCTGTCTTCCGAAAACACGCGCGCGCGCCCTGACCGTCAAGACGTGGAGGTGAAGGTCAGATAAGCGTTTGGACTGTGCTCACGCTAGGCTCTTGAGACACGGGCAAACTTGGAAGGGCAGACTGCGCCTGACACACTTCATATCAAGATGACGTACTACGCAGAAAGTAGAACAAGTCCCTCAAATTGAACGGCGGACGTCCCATACCAGTGACACAAGCATAATATAACAAAACGACAAGCCAACTATGAAATCGCCCAGCATTCTATTAAAGGAACCGAGCATTCCCACCGAAGCTAGATCGACGAGCACCAATGCAGCACACGTTGGGACTATACACACCCAAGATCAGGAAAGGAAAGGCACAGGCAGAGACCGGTAATGCCACCAAAGGTCCGCCTCTGCATGGTGTCCATCCACGCTCGTTCATAAATCATGGAAGAAGGGGAGTTGACACGGACACAGCGGACATAAGGGCGCGTGTGCGTGACCATCACGCGCGTGTTCGTGAGTCCTGCAGGTGCGCGCCGACCGCAGGACGCCTGGGCGCCCGGCCGAGCACCGGTGGTTCCCGGGCCCGTGATTCCCGCCGCACTCCTTCCACCGACCGTTTGCGGAGGGATTTCTATCTGTTTACAGTGATGGACAACGCTATCTGGCGGCCCCGGACAACTCGCTGCTGCGCATACGAGCTGCGATCCACATGCAGCTGATGCAGGCTGTCAGCTGTTCCGTCACAGGCAAAGCGCTCACATCCTTGCCTTGACATAATTTCCCTAAATGCCTTTTATGAGCTGAATTGATGGAGGAAAATGCGTTTTGCTTTCAAGGCCCATCTAATGTACGTAGAAGATCACACATATAAGAACGCTTCTGTGCCATTGCTTTAAACCGCATTTTCAAAATATTATTAGCCTGAAACTACCAACGAATAATGTCCTTTGTAATAACGCGAGACACCTTGCAGACGAAAGCTCAAAACCTTGTATGGCTCAAAACTCGTTTACAGTTAAAAACATTAACACGCGAACCTATTAAGAAGATCACGAAAGTCAGAACTAATCATAAAACAGACAGTCCACCACAATAACAAATGCTGAACATGACGGCACTTGTCACACTATGGTCACTACTGAGTTTCAGGTCCGTCGCCGAATGCCTATGCGTCTGCCCCACCTGTATGCGATCATACACTGTACTGTGCACGCACACTTGCACTCGATTCTGTCGTTTTTTCTCCTAATTCATCCCACTTGTCCGCCAGTGCCCAGCGGAGCTCATCATTCACATCCCCCTCCCCCTCCCCCCCCGGCAGCGAGCCTCCTACTCCCGGCCCGCAGCTGCTCACTGTGCTGGCCCAGTGACCCCTCTGACGCACTGCCCCCCCCCCCCCCCTCTCTGCCAGCGACCCTCCGTCTCCCGGCCCACAACTGGCCAGTATGGTGACCCAGTGACCCCCCGGACGCACTGTCTCCCCCCCTCCCCACCAGCGAGCCTCCGACTCCCAGCCCACGGCTGCTCAGTGTGGTGACCCCGTGACCCGCCGGGCACGCAGCCGCCGCCGCTCTTACGTGATTGTCGGCCCCGGACGTTGTCGAGAGCGTGTGCAGGGCGTTGGTTATCACAGGGTCCTCCGTGTCGGCGAACCAGACCGGTGGCGTCCGCGAGTACGTCTCCTGGGGGCGGCCGGGGCGCATCGGGTCACACGCAGCCACCGGATGTAGGGCACTGACAGTGCGGAGCCACCGTGACACACCGCCACAGCTCTCGCCCGGCGACGGCTGGGAACAAGTACTTGACATAGGGTCACGAACGTGCCCAGTCTGATCCCCCTTGGGTGACGGATGATGTTGATCACGATTGATGATGGTCCGATGACTGCACATGTTTCTACGCATTCGCAACGCCCGCTACACCGCGCTTCGAGCGCACTGCGTCATCACTGATAACATGGTCTCATTGACAACATGTTTCCAAGTTGTCAATGATTAATCTGAGACTTAAAATGACATCATGGCATGGAGTCACAAGATGACATAAAACATCAATCAGGAGATGGTGATACCAGAAAATGTGCCATTACATGACTGGATGAGAAAGATGTGCCAGCACAAAGACAGCAATGCACTTGATAGACCAAGCCATTCAGGCTTTCACAAGACATGCTAGCATAATATGAGCATGAACAGCTGCCACTCAATCCAGTTGGGAAATGAGCTGGAAAGTACTCTACTAAGGAAAGAAAGCACTTGGAAGCAAGCAAAAGACCCACAAAATGATCTAATTGGTTGTGAAAACCACAAAAAGCAATGCCAATGGCACTGAAAAAAGCCATAGTAAGTGGAATGAAACTCAAAACTTGTAAGATTTTCATAGGAAGTAGACCAAGTGGACTTCACACAAAACTTGGAACAGGGGAGATGCAGCTGGGCATCAGGCATAGTGGTCTTTATGCCAATGTTGCTTTAAGAGGGTCTTCTGACCCACAAACCATGGTAGTTACAAAATGCATGATGCTTGCTTTTGTTTACTAATGTTGGGGAGGCCATCAATTACATGAATTCCAAGGGTGAAACCAGGACTGTCTCAAGCAAAGGGCTTAGAGCTCCAAGCATATGATTGCACAGATTTTCAGATTTCTTTCAGGAACCTTCTATGGTAGAAGGAACTGGTCAGTGGGGATGATCCTTGCACACTGGGCCCCTCCCTTGGCTGTGCCCCTGATGGATTCACATATCTTGGAATCAAATGGAAACCCAGCATTATAGAATCATACCTGACATGTGGCCTTGGAATAAAAACCAATGACCCAAAATAAAAAATTAATGCAAATTACCAGACAACCCCACTTAAAAAGTACTTGCCTTATGACTCATTCTCTAAGTGTGGCATACTTATATTCACATCATCATCCATCATTGTCCATGCTTATATTCACAACACATCATCCATTAATTCCCAGGATGGTGTTCTTAAAAATCAAGGTAGGTACAGACAGCAAAACATCTCTAACATTTTGCTCATCAATGCACCACTTCAAGCTGATTTCTAATCAACATTTTTCAATTTGATGGCAGAGATATCACAAGGAGCCATAAGAGAAATTTGGAAAAAAGCTGTCCCAACACATCAATGGAAACCATTCTTCAGGCAAATATATGCAAATTGGATAATGGTTACCATGAGTTACTTACCCCAGATGGCACAGAATTCATTCTGAACTGATGTCAAGGAGCATGATGAGCTCTATTTCCAGCCTTAATTTTTGCACAGCAGATAATTCAATGTTTGAGCAAGTCACAAGCACATAGGCACAAAATGTGGGAGAAGATAGTGTTTATTGTCATGATAGGCATTTTCACAAAGTGTTACAAACACAACAAGAATTTCATGGGAGTTCAATTTCATTCACAAAATCATGTATCAATATGACATTTTGTATCTGCTTCTGACAAAACAAGTTTTCAAGGCTTTGCAACCAGCAAGAAACTAAACTAATCTTATGGTAACTGATACATATCAGTACCTCGCACAAGAGTAAGAGAAGCTCTCAATTATGAAACAAAATATCTTGAGGGGACATAACATATTTGCCAAAGAGCTCAGGAAAGACATGATAATTATGAGGGTCTACACCAAGAAGTGGTCATCAAGGTTTAAGCAATAACATCTTCTGGATGGTGTTGTTCATGGGAACACAACTTTATGAGCTAAAGAATTAAATTTTCAGTATTAACAGATACCAAAACATAAATATTTTTACTTTTACCAGCACAAATTAACAAAATACTGCATGAAGTAAATGAGCTGCAACCATTAATTCTGTCATTCCTAAATTCTGCTTACAATCTATCAAAAGCTGCATGCTACAGCATCATGAGTAACCAGATAATGAACACAAAATTGTACTGTTAAATAGCATAATGAAAGAACTTTTGTGTTGCTATGTAGCAGTCAATGCAATGTTATGTAGCCATTTGCCAGACATATTGCTCTAAGGCTAAATTCACTGAATATGAGCAGGGTAAGTCAAAGAGTGCTGGCAAACAGAAATGTACCAAATGAATCCAGAGTACACCACATCATTCTTATTGTTATTTTTTCCTCACATGGTTGTAACACTTACAAAATAAGCCAGATCTTAGGCACATTCATTAATTCACAGAATGGTTTTGAAAAGTTATGATAATGACTGTCTGTGCGAATGCAATGCATGCAAACGCAGCTATTGTAAATAGCTAAGGAACCACCAAAATCACACCTCTTCTCACTACTGACAAGGTACCATGTTAGTAGGCATCACAATCTACAAACATGATGGACCTGAACATGATCTTGTTATGGCTGGGGCAAACAATGAAAGTTATGATGGCTTCTTTATTTTTTTACAAGGGCAAATAATAAAACAGGTGGAATATCATACCATGAAGCAGCTCATGTCACTGGATGCCCAGTATACCAAAAATCCACGCAATGCACATTTCACCACTTATACCAGGTAGGTGAGCTGTGTTTCAGGCTTGTGTGTGGGAGCTCACACTAGGCCAACATCTTCCTTTGCCCTTTTCCATTTCCCTACATCTTCCAATTCTTTTTGTATGAAACACTTCCTCAAAGCATGTTTCCTTACAGTTACCCTCACAATATTATTTTCAACTGAAATATTGACTCTAGTCTGCCAACACTTCAGTTGGTGACAACTGTGTGCCAGACTCAGAGAACTTTATCTAAATGTACATGCTCTAAAATTTTAGCAGCATTGCTGTTGCTATGCCAGACATGTTTGATGCAGCATGTATTTGTTTAATGTCAGGCCTGTAGCCAACACCAGGACAGGCTTTCCATTTTTGGGCATTGGCCTGGGTTGAAGAAAATGACCAATATAACTCATTCTCTGACCCAAATTGAGCAGCCTGGTGCCTTTTAAGGGTGGGATTTAAGCTGTGCTTCATGACATGCCATGATCCTTACTATTACTTACAGATTGGCTGGCATTCAAAAATCAAATTGGCCACATAATTAATGATTGCTCTACTTCTGGTGCTATGAAAAAATCAATGAGAAAGAATTACCAAACCAATAACACTACTTCATACCTACACAGAGACAATGTAATGAAACAGTAAGCCTAAGCAATGACATTTTAGGGCAGTAAGTGGAACAAGGTATGGTGGCTGACGGCACATGCAAGTGTGTTCTGAGGAATATGCCATCCTGCTATAATATTTCGAGCAGTGAAATAACACTGATACCTCATGAGCAAGCATTGCAGAGTTGGCTTTAGTGGCAACTTAATAACAATGCACAGAATGTCCTAAACCTGAGACACTGACCTTGAATTCTTCCCAGATAGCAACAAGGAAATATGGTTCCCAACACATTTCATGACCCTATTCTGCATTGTAAGTCCTACTGCACAATACAATGTTGCATGTTTTACATTATATTTACATGCATCATGTTGAAAGCTTCCAAATTGAACAAACCAAATGGACACTATCAAGACAAAGAGAACAGCCAATGCCACTTGCACAACTCAATGCAATATGGTGCTGCAAGAATTTAAGACTCACCGTGATATGGGCATGAATATCATGCTTCTTTCCATGCCTTCCAATGACACGGCACGTAAGTTCATCTACACTGGCACTTAGCACCTGGAACCTCTCGTGAGTTTTCGGAAACACATGTTCGAGAGTCTTTATTTCTGCCTTCAAAGTGAGCAAGCAAGCCATTCCTAGTCCCTCTTATGCCTGCGGTGAAAAATGTGAACAGGGCCAATATGAAAGTGGCCTAAATTCACCTAATCACCGGACAGGCGCCGTAAATTACGGCCACACCGCACTACCCCCAACACAGGACGTCGCTGTCCTCGCCAGACAATACTTTTCTGCTCAGCAAGCGACAATTGCAGCTCTATGCGCAGCATTCGTAACAACGAAACAAAAACTTTCGCTGTAAATGTACTAAGGGAAAACTCCCACCAATCAACCTCCTTGAAAATAAAATTAAGTGCAATTATGTCACCTTTAAACCCTTTATTAGCTGCATCAACGGCTTTCTCAAATTCAATTTTTCTTATCATGCTGGATTTTTCACCTTTCTTATCAATGACAAGTAACTGGTATATTGGATATTTTTGATTACTACTAGCTGTAGCTTGCCGAAATACGGTTTTGTTTATTTCTGTTTTTCGACATCCGAAACTACAGATTTTACGACGGCTAGGTAAGCTTGTGTTATTCAGGGGAGGGCGGCGGCGAAACATGACCCTTGTGGTACCCTCTCGGCTACATTCCTTGGTGCTTGCAGGGGCGCAGCCAGTCTTGATAAAGGAGACGGGCACACAACTCAGTGGAGCTCCCAGCGGAAAGGACACAAGAAATCACCGACTTTGACCTTCTTGAGCGAAAGCCCATTTTTCGTTTATTTGCATGTCCACGGGCGTGTTTATTAGGTGGCCACGCAAATCTAACGATACGAACGCACCTTACCTTTTCCGGACAAGCCCGCGGGCAAGAACTTTAATGCGCACTGTCGGGACGCGTGTCTTCAAAACGCGCTCAATTCGAATGTCATGCGCGGTGGTTCGAGTGTTATTGGTGGCATACCAGCTGCCACTTTTTACAATTGGTGCCAGTGCCTGAAAATAAACTCTAGTATATTGCAGATCACTGCGGATTACCTACAGGCAGGGGTGGTGCCACCAGTGATACGCGGGAGGGGACGCGTCCCCCTCTATCATCGGATAGTAGGAGACGGCCACCCCCCCCTCCATCTCACAAATCTTCTTATGGAAGCGAGTTCATTCTTGGCAAGTATTTTCATATACAGGAAGCGATTTGTTGACCGCAATGAAGTTCTACTATTTGCTAGCACGGAATAGCTATTTGCTAACTACGCGACGTCATTGAGACCTATCCAGATGACCAATGGGCGGCATTCCCAAGATTGCCATGAGTGTGTTTAATCTGTCCGGACTAGTGCCTAGGGTTAAAGCCGGTCGTGCCGACCACCGATCACGGGTCTGGAAAGGCATGCATACTATATATTTCTCTAAGAACTCTATAAGCGTCCCAAAATCTTTATTTTTAGCAGGCACTAAATTCCAGGGAAATCGCAATGTTCCTGCTGCTGTATTGCCGAAATCCTGGAATCGCTATTATGCAAAGGTATACCCAAAACCTTAATTTCGGATATTATGACCTGCATTTTCAAGGGGCACCCAATGCTAGAGAGATGTCACAAGAGGCTCCAAAGCCTTTTGTTCCAAATTACGTCAAATGCCAGGGGCACGAAAGATTGTCCCCAAAAATGTATTACGTGACCACCATAGGCAGGTGACCAGCCTAGGTCCGGTCTGCACATTGGGGCTCCGTTGTCAACTAGGGACAGGGCAGGGCTCTTTAAATGTTGATAAGAAACCTTTCGCGAGGTCCGCCCCCCCCCCCAACAAAAACAGTGAGGGGCTCATGTCCTGATCGGAAACTTGCAATACCTAACAGAGAACTTAATGTGTCAGCAACGGACCCAAGTCGACCAGGGACGCCTTTGCTTAACCAAGACAGGAGCGGGACCTCGAACGTCGAAATGTCTCTTGCGCTGGCCACAGTGACAATGAAATAAGACACTAGAAATGAGATCAATCTGAAAATACACCGGTGAAGTCTGTGTGATTCTGATTTCTCAGTTAGGATCTTAACAGTTTTCGTGCTCCTCCAAGACGCTTAAACCGTGCACACAAAACTGGATTATTTCCACGTTAACAACACCCAAACTTTATGTATCCCAACCAGCTGGCGGTATGTTTTGCTACAAGTGTATAGCACCAAGAGAATACGAATTTCAAACACTCGCCGCTCTCCGCCACCACCACCGCCATTTCCATATTGTCCCCATGATATGTTGCTAGAGGGGCATCACGACCTAGACCTAGTTGCACGACCTAGACATCATCCGCACGGGATTTTGCGGTTAATGATTCACTGCGTGGTTCGATTCGCCACTGTGCCCGCCCTTTATGCCACGGTGGGAGGTAGGGGTCGCCATAAGGTCTCGGTAGTGTTGTGAAGCCCCAATGCCGCACAACCATTCACTCCAGGCTTATCTACCTCATAAGTGCAACTTCCCGCTGGTTACGTTCCACGTAAAGTGACGTACGTAAACTGACCAGTCTCCGGAAAAAAGGCGCAATCACATCTACCTGTGTTAAGCCGTTCACGAGGCGCAGAAGGCAAGGACAAGATAAGACAAACAAGCCTTCTCATCAGAGAGCAAGGGCCTGAAAATAAAAGTGCCTAACTCCGGCAAAATTTTGTGAGGTGGGGGGGGGGTAACAAGTTTCGGGGACACCACAGTGAAGCGCGGCCCCTCCCATGACGAGACCCAGGAACCACCCCTACTGGCACACCTGAACGTGTGCACTAAACGTGGAAAACAAAACAACGTCATACAGCAGCAGGAAATTCACAGGCTTAGGCCTAGCATGCATGAATCTACGATAGGCCAAATAGATTTAAGACGATATAGATATACAACAGTATCTTGAGGCGATATAATCTAACCATAGTCTTTGATTTCGATCCACTAACTCCACATTTCTAGCAAGGGAAGTTTTAACCAGTTTCTTTAAAACGAGCAAAAGTGACTTTCAAAACAGCTTTAGTACGGACACAATCCAAGCTTAAGAACTCGTGAGAGTATGTCGGCACAATAATTTTAGGCTTTCTTTTTTTCAGTTCCGCGTGCACCCATCTTAAATAAGACCAGTGGGCCTGCATAATGACTGCTGAAGTTTACTGGACGCCTCAACTGTCATTTCAGGTGACTATGACTATGAGTATTTCGGGGAGACTATTTCAAGGTTAGCTTGGCATCCATGACGCCTAAATAACGTCATTCAAATCCTGCGATTGCATTTGCCATGCAGTGATCAATACCAAGAACAATATAATTTTCGAGCCGTTCATATCTGGCCTTCGTGAGAACGATTTCCAGGTATAACGGCCATCAACTGGCTCTCAATCAATACTGTACACGGTTGTATGACGTAAGCTCTATAAAAGGAAACCATAACATAAGCTCTTCAAGGAAAGGAAACATTAAGGAACATGCATTCATGTTGATGGAAATGTCTTTGTACGCCAAACCCTCTTAAGTAATGACACTGGCAATTTATACAAGGGTAATGCTATTGTGTTCATTTTGGAATGACGCCCAAGATAAGGTATCAAACTGCATGCAGGACGTAATTTCATGTACGTAATTTCAGCTTTAACTAAATTGCCATTGTGATAACAATCGTCATATGACAGAGATCTGTACTGTCACTTCAAGCACCACCGGGCCGTAAGTTTGAAACTCAATAATTGGTGGAGCGCTGTTTAACAGGAGAATAATATCATCCTTCTTGTCCTATCTTTATACACTTCGACCGCTGAGTGCAATGCAATCAAAACAACGTGGGACCATAGAGCGCAGGCAGACGTCACACTTTCAGCTGTCATGCCAGTGGTTGTCCACGCCCGCCGCCCATCAGCGGGGTTTGGGACAGGACGATCTACTGCCATGATGACGACGCCGATGTGGACTCTGCGGCGCGCCCACTGCGTTGCTGGCATGGCGTCCAAAGACAGGACGCTCGCAGCGAGCGGCGATGATGACGTCTTACCATTGTTGTCACACCGCAGTCGGGTTGAGTGAGCCGTGTGGATTGGTACAGGGAAAACAACTTCCAGCATAGGACATGTGGAGCGAAGGAAGCATTGCCACTTGTGCTAAGCGAGGTCTCCGTTCACTAGTTCATTCGTGACGTTCAGTCAGAATGCCCCACAACGCATTGCGGTAGTGCCAGCGATGATGAGGTTCGAAGCGATAGGGTCCTACTACAGCTAGGGTCCTGGTCTTCAAAGAGACGATGTTGAAGCCGAAATGCGAAAAGAGTTCTGGACGTAGATGAGTGCGGTAAAGCATTTTGGGTGACGGCAGTTGTGTGTAAGAACTGCATCCAATGTTTTCAAATATCGTACTTCACCAAATACCATAAACGCGTGGCGTGAAAATAAAGTTATCTCATTCCACCGGACATTATTCCTCTTTTTCGCTTCGAAGAAGTACTGCACCTAAAATGGCGGCGTAATAAATATATTTCGGAGGTTTCTTTCCGTTTGTCCTCGCAAGGAGCAGTGAGCAAATGCCAGTGCCGCTCCAAATTTGTGAGAGGGGCGCTGCAGCCAACACATCGGCGGGGGGGGGGGGGGTCTCGGCAAGCTCTTTGACGCGGCGCACTTAGCGCCTCCCCCCGTACCCCTTTACCTCCGTTGACACAGTTGGCGCTGACCGGGTCAGCTGCGGCGCCCTCTGCACAGCGGCCAGGCCGGTGTGTTTATTGATTGGAAGTCTTGACGTGCGACTTAATGAGGCAGTTCACGGAGTGCGAGCTGACAACGTTTTCAGCCAGGTTTCCGATCGCAGTGAGACGCTAGTGGAGATAACGTGGACGGCTGGGACTTATCACCAGACGAATGCAATGGACATGTGCATGGATGATAAGCAACCGTCGATAAATTACGTTACGAATGGATGAAGAGCGCGTTGGTTGAGCGTAACCGAAGCCAAATAACAGGGGAAAGGAAAGGTTTTGGACAGTGTAACGTTACGCCCATGTGCGGCTGCAGATTATGATAAAACAATTCAAAACCGATAAAAAAACACAATGGTAGCTGGCGCTGGCATGGCAAGAAACACTCATGGCAAGGAGGACAACCCTGATCGGTCCCGCATCCCTGGCTCAATCAGGGGCCAAGGGCAGCGAGGCAGGGGAGAAGCGGAAATGACTAAAAATGTGTGAAGCAATCTATGTACGGCACTAACTGATAAGGGTGAAAATTATACGAATCAACATGGTGCTTTGGACACAAATGTTGATGTTACTGATGATATCATAATGATTTTGTTACTGATGATGATAATGCTGATCGTGATATTTCAAATGATATGGACAGAACGAATGTGGATGAGGTAATATAAACAGCATGGGCCTGGAAATAGATGGTAGTCTGTCATACTCTCCGCTTGTGACGCGGTGAAAGATGTGAGGCGCCGCGACAGTCAAACATCGTCCGGCAAGCTGTAGTTACACGTCGCTGCGCCCCCCAGCAGTCGAGAGCGGCGAAGGACGTGGGGCTCGAGGGCGTCACCGACAGCGCGCGGTGTGACGCGCCGGCGGTCGTGGCGGCAGCAGGCAGCAAGACTGGAGCCGCGGTGTGACGCGCCGGCGGTCGGGGCAGCAGCAGGCAACGGGTCTAAAGTGACAGTTCTTCCGCTGCGTTGCTGCCGATGTCTGAGAAGCGGTCAGTTATCTCCTCACTCATGTTATGACGAGATAACTGACCATGGCTGAAGGCGCGGGCGGTTATTTCGTCATAACATAAATGTGTGAAAAACATCAACACAACTGTGCGATCTATCACCGTCGATGGTGATTTTTTCTGGGATCTGTCGCCTTTACCAGAAGCCAAGTAGATGCTTTTTCGCCTTTGTCAGTTAAAGGACAATAATGAAAAATGAGTGAATTTCAATTCAACGTCCACCTGACTGAAGCAAGTGCGAGGAGAAGACCATAACTGTGCAGCAGATACACGTAACCTACAAACGTGCAGAAAAGAGGGAAATGCCACAATGTCCAGTCCTGCTGCCTATGTCACCAATATAACCAGAGCGTGCTACACAAGGTGAGGGGATACTCAGGTGCGGACCAAGATCTAGTAGGCAGTCAGCAAGCTGTGGGATGGCACCTGCATCTCTGCGAAGAAACAGGCTTTGCGTGTTTCATTTTCATAAATGCTGCTTAATCTTTGTACAGTTAGTCGTAGAACGAATTTGATTGAATTCTTATCTGGGATCCTTGCGCAAAGTATTTTGAGGTCACCCCGGTTTTTTTCCCGAATAAGGACTTTGTCCCCCACGATTATTTCTGCACAAGGTGCATTTTTCACGCTGACGTATTAAAATATATCATTTTCAGGACACACTACACTACCTCCCAGCCTGACCCCCAAATCAGGATTTGGAGGCGCTGCTGGTGGAATGGTTAGGGTGCTCGGCTTTGGACCTGGAGGTCTTAGGTTCGAGTCTCTGTCCCACCGCCGCTGCATTCCACGTGGTATATCTTATAAAGACATCCTGTCCCGAAATGACCCGGGCAGTCGGTGAGACGTAAATCTGCAATCATAATCATTAACCCCAATTTGTCCCCCAATTGCAGAGACGTGGCTACGCACCTGCGTATTTCTCGTCCGTCTCCTTCCTCGCACGTCGCCTGCTCTAGACCAATCAAATAACTCTCGAACCATCGAACGTCGGTAACACCATTACAAGACCGTGTGGTGAGAACGACGTCCTGAGGCCAATGTTATAAAAAAAGAACGTCACTACCTGTAAAAGAATATGGCGCCGAAAAAGGAACGGCACTCTCCCCAATGTTATAAAAAGGGAGACGTGACCGCAATCGGTCTCTTTTTCTCATGCTGGCGATTCTTTTTTCCTCTGCTGACGAATTCTTTACAGACAGCTCGGTTGGCGCGTTGTGCACTGGAGCAAAAAAAATTGCACGGGCTTGTGGGTTAGGAAGGATTTATAAAATTAGGGGAATGTTATAGCCACATTAGATAGATATTTTACTGAATACCTAACACACATCGTGTGACAAATTTAAATCTTAAAAAACTTGTCCATGCTGTCTGATGCCTTTGGAATATCGATCACCGTCGTTACTAGCGACACAACATTATCGCTGGTGTTATTGCCAAGGCCCTCCACAGCGGTGCGTACGGCATCACTAATTAAGTGGCCGACATGACACGCAAGTATAACGAGGGCGAAGTAGTCCTCGTGCGTTTAGATAACCCGTTAGGTAAGCGCATGCTTTCTTTCTAAGATCTTAGAAATCACGCTGAGTGGTGATGCGGATTTATTGTTGGACGGACAGCCGGATCACTTGACTCTGACATTGCCATAGGACAGGCCACATTCCAGCCGTCTGAGAACACTAGTCACATAAGACGAGTTAATAAGTTTTAAAAGGCAAAACGACACCTACACAAATTTAAGCCTTGTCCAGACCGTTGCTTACAATGTTTTGAAATGTTACCGAACCACGTACGAACGGGGACAACCGAACCTGAAAAGTCCCGACGCATGGGATTTTGCTCCACATCAGCAGCATGCTACCCACGGCACTGTGTCCCCCCCCCCCCCCCCCAGCGCGACAGCCTCCGGCAATTGGATGTACTGTCCTGGTCACGTGCACGAGCGTCGATAGCACGTGATTTACAATTGCGGAGCATTGGGAGCCTGGGTTCCCAGCGGGAACAAAACCAAGTGTTTCGTGGCAAAAGAGGGCTATTGGCTCGTGCAACTCTGCGGCCAATGCCCCACTGCTGCACGCGCCCTGGTTTACCACTGGATGTCGCCGAGGTTGGAGGAAATAAATAGCTGGTAAGCTACGAAAAAAGAAATCGCTGCGAAGTTCTACGATTTTGATTGAAGCGCTGTCTGTGCCCTTCCTCGGCACTGGTTTATAAGGGACGCCGCACTAGCAGACATGGGTCGATTGTAGATGGCGCTAGTAGCTGCTGGCATTCTGATCGGGTGAATATTTAGGACAGTCCGAGGCATGCATGTTCATCAGGGACAACAAAGGTGTATTTCGGTGTATAAATGAAGTGCATGACATAGAAATATATTACGCGCCAAGAGGTTGCATTTCGTAAAGCAGCTTAAGCGCATGTATGTGTTTACCTCCCTTTAGTATGAACAGCTCTACGCGCGCTGCAACATATATGCATGTAATATAACTACAAGTCAAGTGTGTTCTATGCTTGCAACTAGATTCCAAAACGTTACTTCCAACATAAATTTTCCGCTTGTCAAAAAGGCAAGATGTCAACTGTCAAAAAGTACAGGCCTTCAAAGAATAATTATATTCATGGATTGGAACTGACTGGATGCGAGTTTTCCCCAAAGCGTTGATCAGATCTAGATTCTATCTAACAATTTGTTGACATAGTTGGGTCGGAAGAAACCGACAAGGAAATGGCCGGGCTATGGAATAGTAATGGTGCGAATGCCTGCAACATTAGATATTTGGCTTTAAACCATAGCCGACTCGTGTGTATTATTTGATTTATTTACTCTGATGCGTTAAATCGGCGTGAATTTGACGTTCGTCAAACAAGCGGGCTCAACACGGACCGAATTAAAGCTGATGTCTTGGATTGGGGTGGATCTTTAAAGCTGATGTCTTGGATTGGGGTGGATCTTGGGCGGTCAGTCCCCGGAGCGCTCGGTTACAAAGCGCTCAGCAATCCATTTGTCGAGGGTGCCTTCTTTTGAAAGCTCCAATGAATATGACCTCAATTGTGCTCCAGACCATGCCATGCAAAGAGCATGCAGTCTACAGGGAAGCCCGCGGGACAGTTCATTCATTAAGCAATGCGCCTTCAGCAGAATCACTCGACCTCGCTGGAACTTGTGTGCAAAGCACTTACGTATGATATAATTGCCTATCCGCCTAGCGACATTCACTTCCCAGCGCGAAATAAAACGTCGCCGTAAGAAAATCGAAAGACTCATATTTGCTGGCAGACACTTTGAATGCCACCACTGCTTGGGTACGCGGCAGGCGACAGAGCCGGCCATTCAGGCACCGGCCTCAGCGTGAAACAAAGGCCCACGGGCGGGCGAGCCCGCCGCCCGCGGGCCTCAGGGAGCACCTTTTGTTCCGGGCCGCCGCGGCCAAACCATGTTTACACGAGCTGTCGGCGGGCTGGCGAGGTCTTGACCCCCGATGATTAGAACGCCATGCGCGGCCGCCTGTGCGGCTGCTGCCGGCAGCGGCGTCGCCACGCGTTTCCACCGGAGCATCCCGGTGAGTCGTTTACAGCTCGCATCAAAGGCGGGTAAGGGCCAGTGCTTCTGTTTGATTTTGACTACGGATAAACTTAGGTGACATTTTCTGTGTTCTGTGGTTAGTCTGAGAACCGCGGTAATTGCGCTGTTGTTGTGTGAAAATTTTAAACCACCAAATATTAGGATAATTACAGCCTAAAAAGAAACAATACCCAAGCGTTCCGTCCAACAAACTATTTTCAAGTTATGTTGACATATGACTCTAGGTATGTGTGAAAGCTAATGACTTGAAAGACTGAATAGCCTGTGGGCGCTGCTCACCACTTTCTCGCCTGCTTGCTGTCCGTGATGTATTAACATTTCATCTCCATGCTCATTACCCGCGGAGTTGTTGCATGCGAAGCGATACCGTGAGCCTCTTCAAATGCTTTGTAAGCCTGACCAACTATAGGCTTATAAATTTGATTTACCTGAGGGCAGAGGATGTATCTCAGAAACGTTCTGCTCACAATAAACGTGCAGCCTTGTGTTAACTGCAATGTGTATGACGACGCTCGGAAATGTCGTTTTTAATTTGCCCAACGAAACTTATGTCCAATACGAAGGTTGGAAAAGGACTGAGCAACTAAAAAGTGTAACTGTGCCTATATGTATGCATGCATGCATATGGCCCGTTATACATAGCGTCATCACGTAGCGTGTGTGTGTGTGTGTGTGTGTGTGTGTGTGTGTGTGTGTGTGTGTGTGTGTGTGTGTGTGTGTGTGTGTGTGTGTGTGTGTGTGTGTGTGTGTGTGTGTGTGTGTGTGTGTGTGTGTGTGTGTGTGTGTGTGTGTGTGTGTGTGTGTGTGTGTGTGTGTGTGGTGTGTGTGTGTGTGTGTGTGTGTGTGTGTGTGTGTGTGTGTGTGTGTGTGGTGTGTGTGTGTGTGTGTGTGTGTGTGTGTGTGTGTGTGTGTGTGTGTGTGTGTGTGTGTGTGTGTGTGTGTGTGTGTGTGTGTGTGTGTGTGTGTGTGTGTGTGTGTGTGTGTGTGTGTGTGTGTGTGTGTGTGTGTGTGTGTGTGTGTGTGTGTGTGTGTGTGTGTGTGTGTGTGTGTGTGTGTATCTGTATATCTTATCAGAATATTTTCCTTCGTGCACGTTCCATTAAAAACGTTTGCTGGTTCTGCATAAGCAAACTCCGCCATGCAACGTCCGAGGTTCCGGGCTTTTGACTTAGCAGTATCGTTAATATAAACGACTGTTCGCACAAAATCACTCACATTTTCGTTGATATCTGTGCGGTTTAACATTTATAGATCTTTTCCAAGCATCACAGAAATATGCATGACAGAACTAGTTAGTTTAAGTTTTTGAGAGCCAAAGTAATGCATCGTTATCTTAAAGAATGTTCCACATTTGGATGGAGTTGTAAGCTGAAATAGCTATCTTCAAGACTATGCGGTGCAGTTCTCAGCCTCGCCCTTCTTAACACTTAAACCCTGTTAATTTCCGACCTATATGCCCACGAAAATGTGCGGACTTATTCGGGTAGGCTATACCAAGGCCCCCAGGCATTCATGACGTCATAAAAACTCCTTAAAAATAGTTCCATTTTATTGGTCATACGGTGATCAAGGCCAATAAAAATATGTTTGTCGAGCTATGGCTATCTGACGTTCGGGAGCACGGATTCAGATATAACGGCCGCCAACTGGCTCTCAATCAAAAAGCTGTGCAAGGTGCAATGACGCAATCAAACAATGACGTAATGCGTAGTAAGTTTATTAAACATAGAAATTGTATTGTCTAGAGCAGTCTTTGCCACCTATAGTATACTGATAGCGATAAGTGAGCTCATTTCACCATATCTGATGCTTGCTCCAATATTTTCAAAAATGGAGCATTCCCTTTAAGACAGCGATGCATATCCTTCGTCCTCAAAAACTCAAAACTTACTACTTGAGCCATTTATATTTGTCCGACCATGAAAAAAGTTTACGAAACGTTAGACTCAAGAGATATCAACGAATGTCGGAGTGATTTTATACCAGCAATCTTTTATCTTAACAATACTGCTAAGTCGAAAACCAGGAACATCAGGCAACGCATTAAGGAGCGTCTCAATATAAAATAATTGATTGTTTTCAATCAACCATCCACAAATGTATAAATTCCGTTAAAATCAAAGCGCACCCAACATTGATGATTGCTTTCATGTCTTGCGTAATAAATCTGATGACAGCTTTCGTCAGGCGTACATGCACGATAAAACTTTAAGACAAAAATCATCAATGGTAAGTCTGCCGTGATTTTTAACAAAATAGATATGAAAGATGATATGCTTCCTAAGTCTGAGTTGTATCTCATACAAGTATTTAGTGAGTTTTTTGTATGCATATTTGTGTATAGATATTACATATGTATGTATATATACATATATATATATATATATATATATATATATATATATATATATATATATATATATAGCATAGCGCCATTATGTATGCGTCAAGACTTAACTCATTTGTTTATTCAGCCTTCGTTACGACGAATTGTCACTAGGATCACGAATGTTTTTCTCCATTCAACTGGCGCATCACATGCTGATTGCAGTACTTCACGGAACTCCGTGAGCATTTTGGGTGACAGTGCTTCGTCGTTTTGCTTACCAGGCCATCCATCTGATTGCCGCGCTCCCTGAAGTATCTCGGGCAAGCCGTGCTGTCAGATCGAGCCAACAATCTCGATAGCCGGGATGGTGAAGGTGACCTTGACCAAGGCGTTTGAGACGGCTGCTGGGCTGGCGCTGGGGGCGCTCTGGCTGACATTAACATGGGAGCAGTACAGCAGGTGAGGCGCGTCTAACTGAAGAGTCTCGGCTACTTCAGAATGTGGGGTCCCGGTAAAAAGCCTCCCAAATGGAAGCTGAAGAGGCATTAACTCGCAGTTTTCCGCGTTCGGGAAGGCCCGAGTTACCGCTCGTGCTGGGTGGTTTGAAGTGCCCTGATGATATACGCAGTGATACGTATACGTGCCGTGTAATGGTTGGCTGCGGGTGGTGAATGAATGATCGAACTAATATAGTGCTGCATAGTAATTAAGGATGCACACAAATGTTTTGAAATGTTTGCATATGCGATGCAACTTGTCATTATCCCAACGAGCAAACGCTTGAAACTGAAATATTCCATCTCTGTGTTTCTGGGGTGACTTCCGAGGCACTTCAGGTAGGCCCCTTAAATGCTCAACGTCTTCCAGATAATAACTTTGATACCTGTACAGGGTATCAGGGCCTTCATACCTTTACATCGATGTCCGTTTTAGTTATAAAACCATGACGTCATCAGTGATTGGCTGCACTGCTATTTTTGATTTGAAAACAGTCGTTAACCACTAACTCTATGGTTTCGGATCGTCTTAAAGTTACTCGTCGGCCGGTTTGTCTTTGTGTCAGTCAGCGTGTCATGTCGTAAAGATCACAAAAGTTTATCAACAAAGGCCATGTAGGGCGGGAAGTTTAGGACAAAGAGGGCTTGGGCCGCCAATTTGTGGTCAACAGGTCGGTAAACTAACATTTTCGTATCGGTGAGCGGTATGGGTCATGTAAACCGAGAAAACAGAAATATCATGTGCAACACGCTGACCTTGACCATGGCATGACCTCACCTTGATATATTCTTTGCAAGCATCTTGATGTGATTCTAAAGCACAAGAGCACGCCTTTTCGTTTGATGCCACTTAAAAAACTATCCCACCTTATTAATTCATGCTAGAAGGCTCCGAGTGCATTTGAAAATAAGATGCACTTTTCAGGCATGAGGTGCGATTTGTGACATCACCTGTTACGTCATCGATTCACAGGTGATATTACCAGATCCATCGGCTGCCTGTCTGAACTAACCAGATCTATCGGCTGCCGTTTGAACTAACCCTAGGTGGTCGTGATTAATGAAACATACCCCCACACGGTACTTCGCTAAGGTTGGATCGCTGAATAATTTAAAGGAGATGTTCCACATTTGAATACATTGAAGCCAGCGTCTGATATGATGAAATAAGCTTACTTATCATCATTGGTATACTTTTAGGTGGAGAAGACCGCTCCAAACGCCACAATTTATCTGTTGGGTGAATATGATCCTCCATACATCATTCTGTAATTACGTCATCATACCTTGCACAACATTTATTTAAAGCTAACTGACGGCCGTCATGTCTCGAAGTCGTGCCTGCGAGCACCAGAAATAAACGACTCCACAAACATATTTTTCTTGGCCTTGATTGCCGCATGGCAATGAAGTGGCAGGATTTGAATGACGTTATTATGACGTCATGCGTGCCTGGGTGACCGTGAAATAGTCCCCGAAATAGTCTGCACATCTTGCGCCTGCATAGCTCAGAAACTAGAAGGCCTTAGGTCTTAAAAAGGGCAGGGTTGTGGACTGCACCGAATGATCTTCAAGGTGGCTATGTCAGTTGAAAACCCCCATGGAAATGTGGAACACTCCCTTTAACTAATACAACACTCGTAGTGAAAAATGACACCCGCGGCACCTTATATGTAGAATGCGACACAACTGCGTCATTGTGTTAATATATGATAGGCAACAATCTTACCTCTCTACACCCACAACCTGACATTCTAAAACTACCTATCACCTTTCGAAATCTCTTGATACAGGTACCGTTCCGAGCCGGTGGTGACCTCCATGGACATGACTTATTACAAGGTTCCCAGCTTCACATTGTGCCCCAAATACCGCGCGAACCTGACACGTCTTCTTGAGCTGCAGGTGAGGACGACGCAAAACGAGCCAAGATCTTGCATGTCTTGCCCCTTCTTTTTACCTTGTTTTAGTTCACTGATCACGAAACGTACCTTTTGGCATCAGAGAGTACCAAAAGGTGTCTTTTTGAAACCGCCCGAATAACCTGTGGTTGCTGCAAATTAAGCGAAATGAGACCATCGATTTTTCGTCGCTCTGCGTGAAACTATGACCCCGTCGTTGAGCCAATCAGTAAAAGGCAGTAACTAGTCATCACCGGTGATAAGCGATTGCCGCGAAAGCGCAGCTTCATATCGACGACGCCAGTCGGAACACTATCACACGTCACATAATTCTCAGGCGTGCCGTTTTCGCAGAACTACGTGCAACCGGTGAACCCGAATGGCTTCTGGCTCTTCTACAACAGCAGCTTCGGCAGTCCGGACCAGTTCGTGGTGGACTACCTCGGCCTGCCTGTCAGGCGGCTCCTCTACCTCTGCAACGACTTGGACTGCATGCCGATGCGCTCCAACCGGTGGAATGGCTCCCACCCGGCGCAGGAGTACCCGGGGCCCGTGTACGAGACGCGTCAGGGCACGTGGCTGCCGTACATCACGCGCCGGGGCCTCTGCCACACGTACCGGCCGAGGCCCTCCGTCTCCCAGGCGTATTCACGGTACCTTGACAACAGGGGACCGCAGATGGTGCTGCATCGTTTTGTGGAGGACTTCGTGCTCGACTCGTCCTACAGCTTGCTGGTGCGTGCTGGCGCTGCGCACAGCGCCGAGCGATGCAGAGAGTCCGGCCATTCTGTTGAGGTCAGGGGGGGGGGGGGGGTAGGTGACATGTCCGGGATTTGCGCAGCCTGCATGAGATATCGAACTTGTTTTGGATTTTGAGAAGTCTAAAAGATCGCAGATGAAATATGCTTTGATTCGTCCATCAATACTATACTTGAGGTAAAAAAAAACTGGGGTCTCAAATACACCCTTCACCGTATTGGGCCTGAAGGGACTGACACCTCTTAAGACTAAAGACATGGCGGACATGGAAAGCCACCAGACCGACACCTCTTAAGCATCTACGATTTTCACTCTACCGCCCATGGATGTCATAGGGTCGCAGCGATTCACAATTTTTGAAGCACCGTCGCATAATTGTTATGTATGGAATGGGAACATGCTGCGATACCGTGCCGGTGCCGAACAGCTTTAAGGATGCGATACAAGGTCCAGCGGTGTACCCTAGTCGATAGTAAACATACGTCAGTACACAAATATCATGAGTGTCGTATCAAAGTTAAAAGACAGACACGTGTCGCAGTCGCACTCGGCACACAGTACGCGCGAACATGCCACATTGATGCACGCCACCCGAGTCAGGCACGTGACATGTCATGCATCGATAGCAGTTGCCACATCATGCTGAATTGTGCTTCACCATATCAGATTTTGCCAAGTAAAATTAGCGCGTAAACTGTTTTCAATTTTGTTCTTAATTGAAGAACCCTTTGGAAAATGACTATATGTGCGCCCTATCCTCTTTTCCTTTCTCCTCTTGCCCTCCCCCATAACACACAGCCACCTCTCTTTTCCTTTCTCCTCTTTCCCTCCCCCATAACACACAGCCACCTCTCTTTTCATTCCTCTGTTTCCCCCTTCCCTTCTTCCCCTTCTTCGGCTGCCTCTCTTTTCCATCCTCTACCTTGCCCTTCCTCTCTTCCCTTCTTCGGCCGCCTCTCTTTTCTATCTTCTACCTTGCCCTTCCTCTCTTCCCCTTCTTCGGCCGCCTCTCTTTTCCATCCTCTGCCTTGCCCTTCCTCTCTTCCCCTTCTTCGGGCGACTCTCTTTTCCTCCCTCTACCTCCCCCTCCCTTTCTTCCCCTTCACGGGCTGCCTCTCTTTTCCTTCCTCTACCTCCCCCTCCCTTTCTTCCCCTTCTTCGGCCGCCTCTCTTTTCCTTCCTCTACCTCCCCCTCTCTTTCTTCCCCTTTATTGGCTGCCTCTCCTTTCCTTCTTCTACCTCCCCCTCCCTTTCTTCTCCTACCTTGGCCGCCTCTCTTCTTCTCAGACGGCGCTCCCCTCACCTCATAGCATCCGCCTGCTTCTTTCTCTCTTTCCCCGTCTTTCTGGCAAGCATTTCGCTCCTCTGTCCGTTGATCGCCGCTCACCTATCCACCTTCCTCAGATATCGGCTCGCCTGCCTGACAGACTCGTCCCTGATTCTACTGTCGTTCAGTCGACTAGTGATTTGAACAACAAAGAATGGAGTCAAATCCAGATATTTTCAGTAATCAACTTCCCATTTCAAGCGACTATTAACATCGGAACCCATTTAGAATCTTCCCTCAGCGGGGATAGGTATGCTGTATCTTATTCCGCATTGGTATAACGTTATTGCTATTGGAAATATGGCAGATAGCACATAAATACACATATTTCCGTTCACATATTCACGCGATCGTGTTTGCGCGCACAAACATATACCTCGACATGTAAGGCAGTCTTTTACCTGAATTTAACGCATGGAACAGCACAGAGCAGAAGCTATTACCAAAATGAAGGGACAGCAACATAACTGCTTTGCATGCTTATGTTTAACACTCGCCCGGGTGGCCGGTTAAATACCAGTCGCTCGGGGGGGGGGGGGGAAGGGTCAACTTGCCTCCCCTAATATCTCAAAGACCAAGAGAGCTAGAAACACGGAGTCACAGGTTCGAATGCCCTGTGTGTCAACTACCTTTTTATCAAAACTTTAAGTTTTTGGTCGTGACCTACGGCTAAATAAGGTCAAACAATGTCAAACTCAAATTGGTGTCCAAAGTACCCCCAGACCTCCTCATGCAACCGCCTTGCCCAGACCTCCTCATGCAGCCCAGATACCTGTTCTAAGCAAAAGGTCGCTGGTCTTAATCTAAGATCAGTAACCTTCTCTGACCTCTAAGAGATTATGATGACAAAAATCCTGCGAGATTGTTCTGAGTTTTTAATTTGAACAAGCGTCAAGGATTGCGATAGGCGGTACGTTCCTGAAAATCAAATGTTGGCCCGTATCATTTTAAGTCATTGATCTACTATGACCAATAAGTGCATGGAAGATATCTGTCGTGTTTCCTGTCGTTGATAAGTACATATACGCATCAGACTAGCCTATAGCGCAAGCTCTTCAGCAATACGGCAGTATGGTTTTGACAATGGGCTGGCCTTCATACCTGACCCAGGTTTAATGGAATAAGTCGTGATCCTAAACTAAAGTTCTAATTATAGAATAAACTATGCCAGAAAGGCATAGCTTTGTCTAATACTCCGTCGCATCAGATTGAGCTATTCCCTGGAAGCTGCTTTCGCTGACAGCCATACCCTGACTTTGACATGCCCTAGTTCAGCGACCTCACAAGGTACATCTAGTTTTTATGGCAAAAGACCGACTATTCATGTACCTATAACTGTGCACAATTTGGCGTGGCTGCGACGCGTCCTTCGTAAATTATTTGGAAACAGCCAGGGAGGGGGGGGGGGGGGAATCATTCTAACCCACCCGAGCGCGTGTTAGCAATGAATGTCTTGGCTTATGGACAATAGTGATGTATGTAAATTAGCTTTAATTCATAGAAAGTCGAGAATAGGCGAAGAGTGCGTTGCTGCCGAACTGTGGCATCTTGGGCCCCCAACGCATATGATCCCCCATTCCTACCTTTGCTGGACCAGCAACTGAACAGCCCGTTTGCATATTGGATACTAACTGGCTAGCTCTCACTGTACGGTGTCCACCCGACCTTGCGCACACCCGAGAGCTTGCGGCCGGTCATCTCGTGAATTTGATAACTTCAAAGAGAAATCAAATCTATTCCGATTCTGTCACAAGCATTGATTAATTCAAAAGCCGGTTCAATGGAGTAACACATGGAGCCGAATCCGCATCCGATCCTGGCCGAACCAGAATCGCTTCGGAACTTAAATCGATTCCGCCGAAATCACCCCGAGTCTGCTGTCTGACGGAGCTCCCCCCCCCTCGTTCCCGCCCCTGATCGGCAGTTGCACGGCCGGGAGGGGCCCACGCCCGACGCCACCTACCAGCTGCTAACCAACGGCATCGTCATCGAGGGCCACATTGCGATCTCGCTGATCTGCAGCTTCGGCCTTACCGTTACGGTCCGCGAGAACCTACGACGCGCCCCCTGCAACGACGACCCGAGCTACCGACATGTACGGGTGCGTATCGAAGGTGCGCCTGGGGTACATTCGCCACCGGGTTTAAGAACACCGATCTCGAATATCACGTTAGTTTGGAGACGATTTGCACAGGTAAGTGTTGAAATCACGTTCGAAATATTTTAAAGAAGTTTATTTCCGCTGCTTCTGCAAAGGATGCGATTGGTTTTGGTGCCAGCCTGACGTCATCAGAAGACACCAACTTTTTGTCCGCAGTTTGAAAACCAATGCTGATCGTCTTTTTTTACATCTGATGCAATTTTGCGCTTAGGTGCCTATGACAGGTAGATCACTCCGTTGCTTGGCCATACATGTTGCAGTGTGATGACGTGAAGGTTCCACCTTATCTCCACATGTCATTCCTGGTCACGCAACTGCTGCCATATTTTTCGCTTTTTTGGTAGCCATGCTTATGGTCTGGGGATGGCCATGATTATTCTGAGTAGAAGTGGGAATGTGAAGCGATCACGTCGTCAGTTTGTGCAACAATCGCTGAGTCCAATGCATTACGTGTGGCGTTGACACAATGAACGTAGAAATTTGAAGCTCGTTTTCGATGTAAGGATGCGGAAAAGCAAGAGACCAAGCGGATTTCGGAAGATGTCACCGGTGTTCGCTCCCAACGTGTGCCACATAACACGCTTGGAAGTTTGCTCATACCTGAAATGAGGTTAACGCCAAACGCAGCCGCGGTCCGTTCTCAGTAGGCCTTCGCTTCAACATCAGATATTCGTGGTGGCGAGAGGGTGGTCAGTGTCCACTCTCTGCAGAATGGCTGGCCTCCGCAAAACCACACTCAACTGATTTTACAAAAAATTGGCCTAGCCGGTTTAATCCTTGACGCTTTCATGCATTCATTTTTTCACCCATCATCCAGATCAAGATCAGATTGCCCACAGCCTTACCTCAAACTGCACCAGAATTGTCACATGTGCTGACAAATAAGGAAATTGAAACTAAATCTTAAAACAAGGGAAAAATTACACCTCTGTGTGACATAACAACGATGAGCCAACGTTTCGCGGTATGGAACGCGAGTAGAAAATAACGAGGAAGCCAGCAGAAATGGAAATATGAATAGATACCAGACGCTATCGCTTTCCTCAAATATTTTGAGCTTAATTTCGGCCCATTCCAACGGCCAAAATCGAGCACAAAATCGAACACCAGAACGGGTTTTAAGGAAGATGTTTTGCATTTAACGCTGTCGATATATTTTTTAGTGCCAAAGACTGCTCTATTTCACAACATTTCGCTGTTTAGTACACATGCTCCTGAATACGTCATCGTTTCGTTGCGTCATGGAACGCTTGTATGACGTCAGGGTGGCCGTCAAACTGGCCTTGCAGAATCGCCACTGCACCGGACCAGCTGTCTCAGTTGTAGCAGTCCAGCCTGTCACGAGGTGTCGAATTATCGGTGTGTTGTTTGTCGAACTACAATATTGTGACGTGTGCGTGCTTTGGCCCTTTCTTGCGGTGTTCTTGCATATTTGTCCATGATTTTATATTGTTTACCTGCAATCCACATGTTCAGTTGTGGCCCAGTCTTATTTCCGTCACAACTCGTGTCACTGCCCGATTTCCTGTGTGATACAATAGGAAACGTGATTCGTGTTCGAAAGTTGCACTGAACACTGGACATTGGTCGAGGGACAACTGAACCCGTCGATGCCAGAAATCGTGCTGACGTACGCCAGGCACGAATAACTTGATAATATTTTCCTTGGCCCTGACGACTACATCACCAATGAGGTGGCAATATTCGCGTGACGGTGGCCTTGAAATAGTCCATAAGAAATCGTGTGCGCGAGCTCAGTGACGCCAACCACAGAAGCCAGAGGATTTAAGTCTAAAAAGGGAAGGGCTGTGAACTGCACTGAGTTATCTTCAAACTGGCTACCTCAATTCAAAACCCGATACAAATATGGAACGTTCCCTTCAATCCAGGTTATGCGATGTTGTTCGTGTCGAGCTGACGGCAGCCTTTTTGTTGGCAACAGCAGCAGTGTGACACTTACCATCCAACAGGATACACGTTTCCTTACAATCGTCGCCTCACGTCACTTTACAATCGCGAGAGCATGTGTTACACTAATCACAACATGTACTTCAATTGATGCATTGCCATGCATCTTGGCTCAGCATTTCAGACCTTCACACTTGATCGCGAGTCCCAGTCGTGCACCTTGCACATTGCAATCTGTCTCCCGAAAATGATAAAAAACTACGAAATTTTCTCATGGGTCTCTTTGAGCTTTTCACTCACACAAAAACGCAGTTTAAAATCTGCACTTGAAGACATCTATGTCCCCAATTCCACACCGGTCAGTGCGCAGGTGATAACGTAAGGAGGTGAAAACGTGTACAGATTGGCGACCAAGGGCGTATCGATAAGCAGGAGCTTATCGATGAACAGGAGCGTGTCGATGAACAGGTGCTTGACGATGAGCAGGAGCTTGTCGATGAACAAGAGCTTGTGGGTGGGCAGGAGCGTATCAATAACCAGGAGTTTGTCTATGAACAGGAGCTTGTCGATGGGCAGGAGCTTGTCGATGAGCAAGAGATTGTCGGTGAGCAGGAGCGTGTCGATAACCAGGAGTTTGTCTATGAACAGGAGCTTTTCGATGAGCAGGAGTTTGTCGATGAGCAAGAGCTTGTCGGTGAGCAGGAGCGTGTCGATAACCAGGAGTGTGTCTATGAACAGGAGCTTGTCAATGAGCAAGAGCTTGTCGGTTAGCAGGAGCGTGTCGATAAGCAGGAGTTTGTCTATGAACAGGAGCCTGAAGCTCATTTTGTGGATAGATATAGACACAAAGGATTCATGGGCACGATAAAAAATGGTTAGAGGTAGATGTGAAATGCATTATGGAAATATATGCCATTCTTTCCCTTATTGTTTTTGGAAATGAACCATGCCTTCTTGCTCACATTACAAAGTTTCACGTGCAGCGACTTTTACCGATACTCTGACGGCAGTGCGTGATGACGGCAATGGTCCTGGCGGCAGTGCATGATGACGGCAATGGTCCTGGCGGCAGCGCATGATGACGGCAATGGTCCTGGCGGCAGTGCATGGAGCAGTGCATGTGGAGGATGGTAATACGGAGAGCCGGCCTCCACTGCCGCGCCCCCTGGATGTCCTTCAACGGCCCGAGCGACCTCGAGAAGAACTTTGACCTTCCCGACCCGGAAATGTGTACCGACGGAGAACAGCTGCAGCTACTCTCGGACACCGAGTTTGTAAGCAATTTGTGGAAGCGGACTATTGAAGCCGGCCTTTTTCAACCAATTTTGCTCAACGGGATGGCCACCCTATGACACAATGCAAGCTATTAACATAGCGAAATATCTTCCTCAACCCTTTGTTGTGCTACCAATGTTGTACCAGTGGATGGCCATCCGTATGAAAGCACGCATACTATTTTCAGAAGAAAATATATTCCCAAACGTTGCGTTACTTTTTGCCGTATGTTACAGCGCTAGTTACGGGCAGCACGGAGCGGGATATCGCGTGTCACCTTCCGTCGTATAGCAGTCAACAGTAGGCACGCCTCCGAAAAGGCATACAGGGTCTCCGCCTCGCTCGTTGTTTTCATACCATGTAGAGCCCGGCACTACCCTTTCAACACAGCTGCAGCTCACCGTGTTCCTCTCATATTTCTTTTTAGGAAATGCTGAAGGCAGACGTTAAAAGAGAATGCACCGGCTGTCCCGTCAGCTGCATCACAGAAACGTTCATCTCAAAGGTAAGACACAATGGGAATGCACCGGCTGTCCCGTCAGCTGCATGACAAAAACGTTCGTCACAAAGGTAAGACACAATGCCAAATTCAACACACCGACAGCTCGATATCTTAGATGTGGCAATAATGACATGCATCTGGAGTTAGAAGACAGGTGAACAGACACATTCTGTCTTCACATGCATGCCATCATTGTCACATCTAAGCTAACAAGTTGCCGTTGTGGTGAATTACCAACGCGAGCTTTATCAACATCGGTAGTCCATCAGTTACCAGTGCATGGTACACTACATTTCATTCTGATAGTACGTTATACTGCATTTACATTCATCTGAACATTTTTCATTGTAATCTTGTGTTAAATGCGACGTTCATACCCGCAGGATACGGAGCACGACAAGAGCTGGAATGAATACACGAACTCACTCCTCTCTCTGACCTACCGGATGCCGCCATTGATTCCGCGAGACACCTATCGGATCTCGTACGACGGTGTCGCCGCCCTGGCGGGCATCGGCGGCAACTTGGGACTGCTCCTTGGCTTCTCCGTGCTGACGGCGCTGGAGGTGGTGATGGCGCTGGCCGGCGGGTGCTGGGCGGCGCTGAGCTGGCTGCACAGCGGGTGTCTGCGGGGCGTGGGCGGTGCAGGCAGGAAGGTTGACTCGGCCAGTTCCAGTATGGACAGTGTCAGGTCACCGTACCAATAATACGTCTGCCACGCGTCCGTGACGTTCGAGACCCTCGGTCAGGGATGCAGGAGGCTCTGAGATGCCACGATGCTGAAAACGTCCTCTCCCCGGCCTGCAGGTACCGTTGAGCGGCGCAGGCGCTAGTCAAGCACTCATCGGCATAAACTCGGCCGTCGGTATCGAGGCGGGATTACAGGCACATTCCTTGTCGCGCACATTTTGATGGCATGAACGCTATAGGACCTCATTAGCCGCTGGAGTGATCTCACTCGCTGCATTTGTCACGCACAGGGGCCGCAGCCAAGAGCGGGGAAGGCGCAACCCCTCTCTTCGACGCCATTTTTGACCTTTTCACCACAGGTGACTTCAGACAGAAAGTTAAACATCGTTGGGATAGACTGTCATTGACCTGCCCCCCCCCCCTCCCCATCGCCCACCTTAAGGAAACCCTGGCTACGCCCCTGGTCAAATTGTCTTCTTTCCGTATATGCAGGAAAGGGACAGCCTTATCTTCTGCACTCTCACGTATTTGTCATGCATTTTGGCCTCGTGTTTCTACGCAGGACCCGTGGCACTTGCAAGCTATCACGTCACAGACCGACTAGCACCAACAATTTGGTACATTGGCGCTGGAGTCAGTCATTATTTCAGTTGGTCTTAACCTGTGATGTGAACACTAATCTCTCCACCGAGACGATCCGATGCATGACACCATTTTGCAACAGAAACTGGCCAAGCGTGGTTGATTGCTGATTTAGGGCACGCAACGGCGCGACATGACAGCTGGTGGCGAATTATGGGCTCAGAGGAAGGGCTTAAAGATGGGGCCTATTTGTTCATGCTGGGTTATCCCCGGGGTCTGAGGCTTGACTTGCACGGGGACCGCTCCAGTCGGGGACCGTTCCAGTCGACAATTGTTATGAGAGCTCGGGTGGAACCCGGCGCCGGGGTGGCTGGAATGCCAAATTGCGGCTGACACCCACAGCCTGGCCGCGCAGTGGCAAGAGGCTGCCGGGATGCCGGATGAAGCGGGGGATACGGATAACAGTAGATGAAGGTGGTTGAAACCGAAACCACGTGGCGATGCGCCTCGAGCCCTGCGCGTAGGCGTGAGAAAAGACTGCCGAGCACAGCGCCGCACCGTTGGGGAGGACGCACCGTACAGCGACGTCGCTCGTCTTGTCAGTGTTGTGTAGCTATCATCGTTGTAGTCACGCGTCTCTCGCTAAATATGCTCTGTGTTGCATCTAACTAAAAATGTGTGCAGTCTTAAGAGGCCTCGGCCAAACGCATGCGCGCCGCTATCATCACTGCAACCACGCGTATATCGCTGTATGTGCTATGTTGCTAAATACAAACTTGTGTTGCTTAAAGACGCTACTTCCAAGCGCATTTATAGTGAAGGCGCTTGAACCCAAACCACTACTGTTACCAGCCAACATTGCTGAACCCGAAAGAGTCGCCATCCTCACTCCTCTGTGCCCTGCATTTTCGCGGGCACGGCTATGTGGTCACCTGTTGTCTCGTAGTCTCGAAGGATGGCGCTAGCTGACAGGTTGGGGCCAGCTGCTCCCTCTGTGGAGTCTTTAACTGCATGCTATCTCATTATTTGCATGACGAGAGCTTGTGTAAAGCTTAATGAGACAAGTGTAGTAGGGTGTGTCATCGGTAACAAAACCATGTGAGACAAAGAAATTATTCGGCGCTGGGGCCCAAAAGTACGCGGCATAGCAAAGGTTCTTCCCAAAACCTTAAATTCGTGAGGCGCGAGTCGAGCGAAATATCGCCGTAAACCGACGCCCGGCGTTGCAGTCACCCAACGCTGGGCGGCGCCCGCCGCCGCAGGTAACACCGAGCCGCGGGCGGCAAGCGACACAAAATACCTTTGCGTAAAGAAACGATGCTAATGAGCGCTCCTTAAGCCGGCGTACGAGAATGTCACGGTCTAATGTCTAATATGCGGATCAGACATTACCCGATTGGTTGCCTTTTGGCGGAAACTTTATGTGCTGTTGATAATGAACTCGTACGAATATCCTGGTTAGTATTGCTTTAGACTTTCACTTCTCTAAGACAACTCACGTGGTGCAAACAAAGCTATGTATAGGATATGACTCGGAATATGTTGTCTGGCGTACAACGTAATAAGTGCAGCAAAGTCTGCAGCCTGTACCACGGACGTAGAGAGAGGGGCGGGGGCGGTAGGGTCACCCCATGCACATCTTGCTCCTTGCCGAGCCTGTGTAGTCGATGCACCGGCCCCTACACCAACTGCTCACAGACTGGAAACACAAAACACGTGTTGGCAGAGATCGCACGGTAGCAGAAATACCTTCGCAGCTGGGCTCCACACATTGCCGAAGCTCCAGCTCCAGCCCCAGACTTCCTCGGCAATGTGGCGCTGTGTCGCGCTCCTAGTGTGAACCAGATGGGGCAAGATGGCCAGCGGTGCCTGCAATTTGTTCCGCATCACACAGTCGCTGAGGTTTCGCAGTGGGGGCCATGTGACTGGTCCGTGCCAGGGAATCAGTTCGGCGTACCTCATGGCCCCGAAGTTTACCTCTGAGATGGCGAAGACCCTGGTCTGAAGAAGGCCCTCGGCTTGCTGCTCACGAGCGGCTCGACGATCGGAGCCGCCTGTTCGCGGACCATGCGCTTCTCATCCCACACCAAGTCCAGCAGCAGCTGTTCCGGACGGACCCAGTACCCGTTACGCTGGAGGACTGGCTGCACCGTGACCTATGTATGACTGCGGCAGATCGCGGAGCAGCGCGATGCCCCGGAATAAGTTGCGTAAGCCAAAGTCGCAGCCACTGTTTTGCCAGATGGCGGACCATACCGACACATAGTAACCGGCCACGCACTGGACGAGGTTCTTAAGAACGCTGCTGGAAGTCTCAGTAGAGATGTGAACTAGGAGCAGACCAACGGCCAGTGTCAACCATCTGAAAACAAGAGCGAATATATTAGAACAATTCGCTACGAACTGAGCATTAGATTACAAAAAATATTGCGCCTCTTTAGTGTATGCAACTATGCCGATATCCAGAGTCCTCGACTGTGACGGAATACATATCAACAAATATGCTAGTAAGCATGAACTAACCAGCAAATGATACGATATACTACGGCACAAGATATGATAATAAATAAATGCTCAACAGTGAGCACATGAAATACCGATTGATGCTTGATGGACTTTCAATACTCGTGGTTATAAACTCGAAGACAATGCGTTTTCATATTTACCTGGCATGGTTCGATGGTCCGATTCGCCGCTGGGCTACCACGATTCGGGCAGAGCCGTTTTGAATGCCGGAGGCCAGAAGGTACAACAGCTGCTGGTTGGTGCTCAGCTGCTGAATCAGGTCGACCGGCAAGTTTGGCACGTGCCCCGACCTAGGCTTGAATGCCACAACGTCCCTCTCCCAGACCTCTCCGACACATACGGTCCTGGGTTTCAGGACCCATCTTGCCGATGGGTCCTGAAAAATTTCGATCCCATGGTCGTGCCGCCAAAGCTCAGCAACAGATGGAGGAGGTTCAGCTGGTTGCCGCGCAGCTGGCAGATGAAACAGTGTACGGGTGACTCGGTGGCCAGCTCAAACAGCCGGAACACGTAGACCATCGTCTCGGTGTTGACGGCCGTGCCATCGCAGCCGAGCACATTGATGTGGCCATCGCACTGCGGGCTCACGGAGTGTAGCTCGTTGAACAAGAGCAGGGCGCGGCCGAGCTCGGACGTAAAATAAGTCACGTGGCGGCTGCCTGGCTCAGTGATGACAACCGCGAGTTTTTCGACGGCATTCGCCTGGCTCCGTGTGGCTCATGTAAATCCTGCCTTCGCGTCCGCCGGAGTATAGGATGTCAAACCTGACTCGTGGATTGCTCAAGCATTTTGATGTGCCGTCTCTTTTCTCCCTCTGTCTCTCGCGCAGCAGGTCTTCTCAGGATCTGCGATATTTGATTGCAAGTAGCCAGTCCATCTCTGATGTCTTGCTGAGAGGCGATGATAACAGCAGCGACCCGTTTCGAGCTACCGTAGCTGTCAACCGCCAGAGCGGTGTTAGTCAGATCTTTAACGTTATAATCTACAGTGGCAACGGTCTCAACCGGAACGAACAACCGGCGGCGTCGCCATCTTCCACCCTGTACGAAACCGGGAATGAATATATGAATCCGTGCGCTCAGCGGACGCGCCAGCGCTGAGCTTGCAGCGCTTGGTCCCGTAGCAGGCTCGGGATCAGCACTAGCAGCCAGCGCCAGCTCAGCAGGCGGCGCGGGCTCAGCAATCGGCGGGGAAGGCGACTCAGGTTCAGCAGCAGACACCGCCTCACTGGCGGCCGAGCCACGACGCCCCTGGAGTTGTCTGGCCACCCTCCGCATCTCGCAAGCATTCCTATTCACAATCGTATCTCGGCCATATGACCCCAGGGTAAGCTTCTGGTGCCTGCACTGTTCCTTCATGGCAACCTCCTCCTAATACACTGTGCAGGCAGCTGGGCATGGAAAGCTGCACTGAGGCTTGCACTGGCATTTCACGACATCGAGAAGCTTGTTGAATCTCGCGGTGGCGGCGTTGCTGTGTCACTCTCTTTCTTTGAATCCTTGCTAATAGCTCCGTTGGGATGATACCAATCCCTCTCGACCAATTTTGTCACCTATTTTAGATCGTGAACAGGGATAGCTTCGTTGGTCCACAGTTCCCTGATATCTACCGGCATGGTCTTGAAGATGGTATTTGTGAGATTCCTCTTCGATTCGCTCAGCCACCTGATGTAGCTCAAGGCTTTCCCGTAGTCGGCAGTTGGTGGTGGAACAGTGGAGCCGGGTGACATATCCCAAAATATTTTGTGCGCGACCGTGTAGCCTTTGGCATGCTTATTTAAGTAAATGTTCGAAAGAAAGGTTCCAGTGCCGGCAGAACTAAACAAACAAACCCATATCGCCCATACAGCAAGCATTTCGGTTGCAAATCAACACCACAGTGGTGCGTTAACAATCGCAAACTTGGGCCTACCTGTCTGCTGGAACATTTTCATAACTGCACAGCTTTGGGTTTTACCAAAAATTAATGTCCTTTTATGAAAAAGTCAGCTTGAAACCTGTTCGGCGATGCTTTCCTGATGCTCTTCATGCTATATATTTCATACTTAATCGCCCAGGTACCAGCATTGTGGAAAGTTGTAAGTTTGAGGCTTGTTGGACGATCCCAGAGCATAATATGGGTGGCGCTAGTGTCGAATACGGAATTTTTGGCCTATTAAAGCAAAACGGCTCTCGCGTCACGAATATCAGCATTCGTGCGGTGCGACAGACCTGAAAGTTTATAATTAATCCGTGTGCCAAGTAAAAGCTTTGCCTCAGTTGATTCCAAGAGATTCACCCCCTCGATGACACACCCTACTGTAGGATGAGTCTGCTGAGTTCACAGCGGCCGCCTATTTGGCGCGTGGCCTGGGATCACTGTGGATCCTACTGAAGTTGTGGCGAATCGTCTGGCCCAGAATGTGTGGAGCTTGCCAAGGCTTCAGTGGCCAGCTTAGGACGCATGAGTTAAACTGTGTGTTGAGCGTGCTGAGATCACAGGGGCCACCTTGAACGCGTGGTCCGGGCTCTGTATGGATGTTGTTGAGGTCAAAGTGAGAGTCGTCTCCTGGCTGTGCACCTGAGGCCTGCTTTGAAAACATCGCGCCAACCACTGCTGTTCATAACTAGTGAATCACAAGCTGTTCGGCCAAGCTCAGCCGTGATGTCCAGACACAGCATTCGGGACGGTTCAACTTTCAGGTTAGCCCGACTCGGGAGCCATCTGAATCTACGGGTGGGCGACACAGATACCGGCGACGGCAAAAGCACGAGAACAGTGAGTCTGGTACCACCTGGCTCAGGAACGTCACTTTCTATGCCTTTGGAGAACGTGAGCCCCCCCCTCCCCCAAATGCTGACTTGAGCCCCCCTCAATTGCTCCTCTGTTCCCGTGATATGCATATGAGCAGAGAAAACACTGGGCCCAACAAATACAGGACAGTTATCTTAACTATTGGCATACTAGTTGGTAGGCTTATGAACATGTCAGTTTTAGTGTTGCGTTAATTTTGTACCAAGTAGTACCCCGTGGGTACCTGATATTTTTGTCGTGTCAACTTCTACATAACATTTCTGCAAATTTTGACAATTTTTTCAGGTGATAGCGCCTGGATTGGGATAAGGAACAATAAGTTGCAATATCGGACAGTTTTTAAAGGAACAGGATGACCCTGATGAGAGTTAACGCATGTTTTCACCCAACAGTGGAGAGTGTATTTGCCGCATAATCGTGGCTGTGATGGTTGTGCCACACGATCAACGACAGCGGTGACACATGATGGCCATCAGCGACTATTTTTTCGGTGGATTACACCCTATTCTAAGCTTTTTAGGAAAAGGCAGCTCTCATGAACTTGGAAGGAGAAATGATACCTTCACACGAAAGAGTGGATTCTCCAAAATATCACAAGTTTTTGGAAAAATTGAATATCAAGTAATCAAGCTCAAGCGGCCGAAATCCGGAACGACATCAGGTGACGGGGGGCGGGGGTCAGCCTTTTCGGCTGAGCCCCCCCCCCCCACCCAATCAAGTTAAGAAAGTGACGCCCCTGATCTGGCGTGAACAAGATAATATTTGGCGACGACGCCGGCATGAATGCAAAAACGACTAATTATTCATTCCATAGTGATCTCAACCATCGCTTCGTTGGTCCACAGCACTCTGATTTCTACCGTCGCGGTTTTGAAGATGGTACTAGTGAGATTCCTCTTCGATTCGCTCAGCCACCTGATGAAGTTCAAGGCCTTCCCGTAGTCGGCAGCTGGTGGTGGGACGGTAGAGCCGGGTGGCCTGTCACAAAATATTCTGTGCGCGACCGTGCAGACTTCGGAATGCTCATGCAAATAATTGTTCGAAAGAAATGTTTCAGTACCGGCAAAACTAAACGAATGGGCGCCTATTTCCCACGCAAAAAGCACGTAAATTGCAAATCAACATCACAATGATGCGTTAGCAATAACAAACTTGAGCTTAATTAACTGATTAATAACCCGGTGTGCTGGGGCATTCTCATAGCTGCAGAGCTTTGGGTTTTACCAAAATTTAGCATTCTTCACTAAAAAGTTAGCCTAAAAGCTGTTTGACAATGTTTTACTGGTGCTCTTCATCATATTATTTCATGTTTAATCTGCCAAGTATCAGTAGTGTGGAACGTGGTAGCTTTCAGGCTTGTTGGAGGATGATCCCAGTACGTAAAATAGGTGGCGCCAGTATCGAATGCGGTTGTCTTGGCCTATCAAAGAATAACTGCTCTCCGCCTCACGAATATTCAACATCGGTGCGGGTGGCGACAGACCTGAAAGTTTATCATTGAACCCATGTGCGCGAAGGGAAAAACACTTTGTCTCTGCTGATTCCAAAGAATTCCCCCCTCGACGACACCCCTATGTTTATTGCTGTCCAGTTATGTACGCTTATTCAGCGTTCCGGTCACATCTCAATGCCATTCGCCATAGACAGCTGCAATAGAGAGTGTGTGTGGACGCCGGAAAATTAGGGAAGGGAAAACTGCGGGGCGGCCGCTGTCGGATCCGTCTGAGACGAGCCGCCCAGTCGCGGCCCAGACGGCGGGCCCGGCCCGCAGCGAACGGCGTCCACCGTGCGTCACCGCATGGTGCGCCGACATCTCCGGCCGTCCCGGAGCGACGGCGTCTACATGCGGTCACCACTGGCCGCCGACATCCCGGCGTGGAGCGACGGCGTCCTTGGCCGCCCTCCCGGCCGCCAGCGACGCGTCGTACATGCGGTCATCACTGGCCGCCGACATCTCCCGGCCGTCCCGGAGCGACGGCGTCTACATGCGGTCATCACTGGCCGCCGACATCTCCCGGCCGTCCCGGAGCGACGGCGTCCACCTGCGGTCACCACTGGCCGCCGACATCTCCCGGCCGTCCCGGAGCGACGGCGTCCACAAGCGGTCACCACTGGTCGCCGGCCGATATCTCCCGGCCGTCCCGGAACGAAACAGAGCAAACTCATCGCTCCGTTGATGCTATGGCATGCGTTTGTGTGTGAGACTAATCATTTTCAGTGTGAGTGCCAATGTTTCTCTGTGAAATTGTCAATTTGGCTGGCTTTAAATACCTTATACCTCTGGGCCATGGATGGCCAAATTTTGTTTGCAAGAGATATGCCTGCAGGTGTATACTGACTTCAAAGTCATCATAGTAACCCCGGCTTATGTAAATTAAGTCTCAGTTCTTGGAGAAAGAGGGCTGCATGCCTGGAGATTGCACGTATTGGTTCTTCAGCGGTCTTTTCAAAATATGCCATTGCTCCAGATCTTAAAATGTACAAAATGCAGCAACTTCCCCAAAGTTAGTGTACACAAAAATGCGTAAAACAATAACTGTTTTTACATTGATAGATGCTTGCGGTGATACGTATGTTGTGATGAGGTGAAGTATGCGCACCTAGAATGAAAAGTGGGGTCTCTTGATGTTCTTCGCGACAAAAACGTGACTGAATGGGTGGGTGTGCTCGTAAGCTTCTTACAGCTTCTTGTTTTGGTGTTGATAATGTTACAAGGTTGCGTACGTGTGCCTGACATGGAACATAAGGTTGGCGGGCTCATGGGAGGCTTCTGGGAAATTCTCTTCGCGGGCGGGTGCGGGTTTTCAAAAAAGGATCAAAATGGTTGCGGGTGGGTGCGGATATTTCAAAACTCAAAAAGTGGCAGCTCTAGTCCCTACACCAAGCATCCAACGTCTGCCCGCGCTCGAACTGAACCGCGGACATTTTCCATGGCGGATATCTTTCACGGTGGACATCTTTCACGGTGGACATCTTTCACGGCGGACGTCTTTCACACGAACATCTTTACATCATCAGACACCATCCATGGACGTGTTTTAATCTGTACAGCGACTAGGGCATGTTTAAGCCTGGCACGAGTACGACTCAAGAGTCAATCACATTCGCATGCAATTCATGCGGTTCATGCGGTTTTTTAATTGGCCAGCCATTGACCTGGTGCCGACCTGAACGGCAGTACTGGAATGATCTCGGGAGAGCTGTCCCGCATGGTAGTAGCCCGCAAAACAGTATCTTGTTGCGTGTATCATACATAATATGCAATATCTTAAAAAGATATACCCATGCGAATACCAACATTGTTTCAATTGTTTCTGTAACCCTGGGTTGTATCGCCGCGCTGATGTGTTCGGAAGAGTTCTGTCCCCACCGCTAGCTGTACAGTACACGTTGCGTGGAACGCGACGAGCTCTTAAAATCAGCTGATACCAACGAAGCCAGGTCAGCTGACTGATTGTGTGAAATGTGTATTGATGTTTGCTTCTGTCACTTTGCACTCTTGCGCGGCAGTGAGGTGTTCCGCACGAGGTGGATGCGGGTGACACCACACGTACTGTATGGTGAGATACGATACCGGATGATCCATATCACAAACGCATGCATCTACAGCACGCTTAGCAGCCACATTCTAGGAATAACATCCAATCATTAATGACGAACGAGCCCGGCTCTTTTTAGAAGATGTTATTACACAGGATGTAAAGTACAGGTATTTTTTTTTATTGGGGGAGCCCTAATGGCAGGATGGCGGTCACCGCTTGAAGCACGCGCCTTAAAACAGATAGGGCAGAGCGATCATATGACGGCTCGCGTGTCCATCAGAGCCCTGGTACCAGAGCCCCGAGCTTGACTCCCAGACCCCCCTCCCAGACCACCGAGCTTGACCCCCAGACCCCCTCCCAGACCACCGAGCTTGACATCCGGGATTGTGCCATAGTACAGTACGCCTGTTCAGACTAAACTTATGTCACTTAATATCAGGGGTGATCGGAAATGTCATCTTGTTGTACTTACACTTTATTCATTATAATATGTTTTAGGCATTTTATTAGGTGCCACGACAAATTGAAGGCGATGTCACACCACAAGCTGTGGGACATTAGTGGCTGCGATTCATGAAATGTTTCAAGAAACATGTGCCGTGACACAATCGTGACTGTGGACGTGAGTGGTTGCCATAAACACATCCACGTGCGCTTCCGCAGTAACAGTAAATCCAATCTGCGGCGGCCGTGAAGACATTTACTGAAGCGGCGCGCCAGCCGAGAGTTTGTATAGCAAAACAAACGCCGTGTGGAGAAGACAAAGCTTCCAGTAAACCTTGGTGCTCAGCAAGTTTCTAGTGCTCGTTTTTAGCACCACTCAGAGGGTAGTAAAATGACTCAGTTTACACAGCCACACGAAATGAGGTCGAAAGTGTGCGACTCAAGCGGCACAAGAGGCCCCAAGCCTGGGCAGCTCTGAAGTACACATGACCTCCTCGGTAGCGCACGACATAAGCGGACGGATGCGTTGTCAAACAGAAGGCCAGCACAGCGCTGAGACCGCTACACAGCTGACCATGCGGTGGTGGTCTCCCACATCGCCAGCCGCGACAGAGGGCACCTCAGACGTTATTGTCGAGGGCGTCTCTTCTCGCTGGCCACCGGCGCCGATGAGGCAGGTGGTTCTGTGCCCCGGCCACCATTCTCGCAGCTTGTCCGCAGCGGCATACACCACCGGCACCAGTCGTGGTGGACGAGCCATATCACTGATGCTGCTCTTGACCTCGGTGCTGGCACGGTGGCCGCCACTAGCTCTGAGCCGGCCAGCCGGGTCGTCGCGCTCTCCGCCAGCGCTTCTCCGAGGTCAACATGACGTCTCCCCTGGCGGCGCTGTGGCAGCCCCGCGGACGGCCCCGGCCGCCGGGCCCAGCGGCGCTGTGCCGGCCCCACGGGCAAGCCCCGGCCACCGGGCCCGGCCGCAGGCATCTGAGCCGGCGCCGGCTCGCCACCGGTCAGGCTGAACACCCGCCTGACCTGACCCGCCCCGGCGCCGCCGCCGGCGATCGAGGTCACCGGCCGGACCTGGACCGGCTCCTCGCTGTTGTGTGAGGAGAGGCTGCTCAGATGGAGGCAGTCGGCTGCGCCGGCCGCCGGCGGGCACGCCCGACGGGCACGCAGAGGAGTCTCCAGACGCAGCTCACCAACCGGCTGGAACATGGAACCAAAGCGGTGTCGGACTTCAGCATGACGACCCTGGCGTTGGGAGTTGAGCTGCAGTAAGCGCGGGAACGAGCAAGCCCTGGATAGAAATGGGGTTGCAATGTTATTGAACACAATCAGATAAATCAACATAACATCACCAATCATGAAAGAAAAAGTAAGGACGAGCTTGATCAGTCACTGAAAACACTTGATATAAATGAAACATGCAAAAACAATCAAGTATACATGCTACGTCAGGATAAAAACGGAAATAAAGGCATGTACGTTCGTTGTCGAATAGACATATTCGATTTACTTTGAGCAAAGCCTTTTCATGCCGCACGGCTAGTGAAACTCAGGTAGAAGGAACTGCAAAAAACTTACTGAGCTATCACTCGCCTGGGCAGGACGGCCTTGACAACCGCCAACATAAAAGAACGCATTAATTATATATACGTTACGCCGGCAAACGACAAACGCCTCGTGGCAGCAGTGTTCCTACAGCCACAACCCGGTCATCACCGCATAGTTCCGTCGCCCCATGAGGTCAAGGTCGGTCTAACTCGTCTGGGGGCTCTTCAAGAGCCGCCACCTCACCCCGACCCACCTGTTCGCCTGAAGACGCGTCCTGCGTCTCCGGCGCCGGCTGCTCCACAAAATGGCCGAACGCGTACGGGATGAGACTCTCGTCGATGTAGTGTCCGTCTTCCTCGTCTGGAAAACAGCTGCGTGCTTTGACAGAGCGACACGCGTGGAACGTTTGGTGTTTACAAAAGCACCTACTCCCACCATGCGCGCTCTGTGGCCCATTCGTGCACCATTTGGAGAAGCCTTAGCTTTAGAAAGGCAGACAAAGGCAATGACACACGGCGTTAACAGGCTGACTTGATGGAAACACAACGCAAGCGCTTATACCTCATCCCGGTATTCGTGTGTTTTAGCAGTATCTGCAAAGCAACGCAGATTAAAGCGAATATTTATGCATAGCTGAACAAAAAGTTTCAAGGACTCTCGATGGCTTCACTTTTAATTGCGCCTTCATAGTCTTTTCATGCGTGTCCTCATCAGCATGTGACGTCCCTAACTGACGTCACCCGAGGCCACGCACTGACATGCTGCTCACCAATAGCCTACACTGACCTAAGCCCAGGTCACTGCGTGACCCGGTCTGGATGACCAGAGCTCTAGCGACCTGAGCTGCGACCCCTATACTGCGACCAACCACGACCCGACCTAAAGTCACAGTGAGCCGCGATACACCCACCGGAGCTGAGCTCGTCGGCCAGCTGGACGACTTTGTGACGGCGTACGCAGGTCTCGACGCTCATGAGCAGGACCATGAGGCCGCAGCCGCAGACCACGGGCCCGATCAGTATGAACGGGTCCTCCTCTGGCACGGACGGGCGGATTAACAGGCACGCCAGCTACCGCCTCAGCGACGCGACTAAGTCGAAACACAAGCAGCGGCCGCAGTCGTGCTAGGAACGTTGCTTTGTCACCTGCTTTTCGTAAGCCGTATATGTTAAGCAAACGTTAGAGCCCCTGATAGTCAGCTTTCTCCGTGACGTCGAGCTTAAGTGGGTAGAAATGACTGGGGTGACGCCGGTGACGTCAAGTCCCACACCACGGGGTTGAATGGTGTTATGCAGAGCATCTCAAAAAGTGACATTCAGAAGTTCCTTAGTTCGACAAGAAACCTAGCAATGCCGCTTAGTGCGTAGAAAAAAAGACACAGCATCGCGCGAAAATAATGCGTATTGCCCAGGGGAACATTATCCATGCAAAAAAGACAACTGTAATGTGAACACTCTTTTTGTGCGGTGTTTGGGCACTGCTCATCCATTTATGAACGGGCCCCGAGAGCGGAGCAGCCCTTGCTGTTCCTCAGCTTCCCGTTATGAACAGGCCCCGACAGCGGAGCAGGCCTTGTTGTTCCTCAGCTTTATTTTATGAACAGGCCGCGAGAGCGGAGCAGTCCTTTCTATTCCTCAGCTCTCTTTTGATTTCGCGTGTTGGACTTACTGCCGAGTATGAACCATGCGCCGAGGAACATGGTGAGGCCCGACACCATGATCACCAGGCCGGTGGTGACGACACAGACGATCAGCTGCCAGTCGGCCACCTTCCGACGCTGCAGTGCCGCCTCGCGCCAGTTGACCTGCGATGACGTCATGATTACGTCAGTGGGTTTGGTAGCTGGTCAGCTGCCAGTCGGCCACCTTCCGACGCTGCAGCGTCGCCTGGCGCAAGTTGACCTGCGATGACGTCATAATTACGTCAGTGGGTTTGGTAGCTGGTCAGCTGCCAGTCGGCCATCTTCCGACGCTGCAACGCCGCCTCGCGCCAGTTGACCTGCGATGACGTCATGATTACGTCAGTGGGTTAGGCAGACGGCCAGATGCCAGTAGGTGCCTTTTCGGCTCTACAGCGAGCGTCAGCATTCCTACAGACAAAAAAAGAGACACCACTCCCGGCAAAAATGTGTTGCAAGGCTACCAAATTAGGGAAGCTGTCTTACTGTAGACCAAGGCAACTACTGCTGAAAACACAAAATTGGCGCACCTAAATAAGACACATTGCGCGGAGAGGTAGCATCAGGGACGAAGTATGTGCTGTCGACAAATCAGCAGATGAAATTGGACAACAAAGAAGCAGGAAGTCGCAATTAAACAATGTTAGTTGACGTGATGAGATAAAAGTTCTTACGTGGGGTAAACGACCTTCAGGTGTTCTAGGACATGCTGGTTAAACGGCGTAAATTAGTGAAGCAACTTTTGGGCTTCTGAGGCATGACCCCATTCAGCATTCGCGTTTCTGAGACCGTTTCTGAGAAATACAAATCAGTGTTGGAGGGGTGAAACAGAATCCGGATGAGACAACTTGACCTGAAAGTAAACATGCTGAATTGGAAGATTTGAAAAAGGCATTTTACAGACAAAATTGGGGAAAACAAAATCATTGGAATAAGGTACGCATAAAGAACACGGCAAAATAATGTTTTCCGTCTCCCAATCTTCACAGACGTTTCACCATCACTGGACATGACATGGCAGCCAGGAGACAGAAGATGGAGAATAGGGGGCAGCGGGATAGGACAAGACAGGTCAGTACCGGGGCAAGATAAGAAAGAATAAGGTAGAACAGGAGAAAGGGAAGATAACAGCACAGGGCAGGAGATGACAGGGCAGAACAGGAGACAGTGTAAGTCAGGCAGGACTGAAGATGACATATGACAGGACAGAGAAGAAGAGGATAGCACAACAAAGAAAGTCGTACATAATGAGGATGGACAAAACGAAATTCATCAAAATATATCAAAAAGAGATGTTGCGTTCAGCCTTTCTCCAATAACCGTATGAACCCCGGCTCTTGTTCGCCCTGCTCCTGCCTCCTCTTGCCATCCAGCACCGGCCGTGTCCTCGTTATCGCTCCACATATAACAACCCCTGTGTTCATCTGACTGTTGCACACTGCACGGCGATCTACGGCCGGCGCGGGCAGCGGGCGACAACGGACGATGGCGCGGGCAGCGGGCGACAACGGACGATGGCGCGGGCAGCGGGCGACAACGGACGATGGCGCGGGGAGCGGGCGACAACGGACGATGGCGCGGGCAGCGGGCGATAACGGACGATGGCAAAGGCAGTGGGCGACAACGGACGATGGCGCGGGCAACTGGCGACAACGGACGATGGTGCGGGGAGCGGACGACAACGGACGATGCCGTGGGCAGCGGGCGACAACGGACGATGGCGCCGGCAGCGAGCGACAACGGACGATGGGGCCGGCAGCGGACGACAACGGACGATGGCGCGGGCAGCTGGCGACAACGGACGATGGCGCGGGCAGCGGGCGACAACGGACGATGCCGTGGGCAGCGGGCGACAACGGACGATGGCGCCGGCAGCGGGCGACAACGGACGATCGCGCGGGCAGCGGGCGACAACGGACGATGCTGTGGATGCGCACGGCGGGTCGACACCTTCTTACATGAATGAAACGTTGCATCCTGAATATATGATAAGACATGTACAACTACACACCATTGTACTTGAAATTAAACAACGAACACGCCATTTTAGATTTCTTGTCACCACAGGGTAAGGTTTAATAAACATGAACATATAAAGCTGAAAAAGGTTTGATTTTCAGGACAACTGACCTTTAACCTGACATAATTCGGTCAGTTATTGAGCTAACAACGAAAATCGACACACATCGTTCAGATAAGCTCACTGACGTTTTCTGCCAGGCTCTTTCTTAGAAATAACCGGCGGGGGAGGGGGGAATGTCCACCTGCCTCCTTATGGTCCGGATTATGAAAAACAGCAAATCAGGGCGAAGGATATTAATCATTTGCATGCTGTTTCCAAGTTACTTTCATGAGAACTGAGTACGCATACAGTCAGCCCCCCACACTTGGACACCAGCCCGCCCCCCCCCCCCAACTTTACCATGAGGGTTGTCCAAATTCGTGGGTGCTTCGTGGAAAACCCCGTTCGGTGATATATTTGTGTCGGGTACGTCTCGCATGTTTTAAATACTCAGCCCACGGATCAAGTTTTGGGAAACTACGCCCCTGCCAGGTTACCTGAATCGAGTCGCATCACTAATGTTGTAACATCTTGTGGTACACACAGGACACAAGCAAACGCAAGGCCGCATGTCTCAAACATGAGGTTTAGTGTGTGCTGAACGACGGACCTTTAATAGGCACCGCCGGATTTACACCAGCGCCAGGTCGCCGACCTGCGGCAGCCGCGGGGCAGAAAGAGGTCCAGCATGCAGACGCGGAGTACATCACTATATCGCCGGTGACGTTATAATAACGCGGTGACGCTATGGTTATGTCGGTGGGTCAGGCAAATGGCCAGCTTGTGATTGACATTTTCCGGCGCTGCAGTGTCGCCTAGCGTCAGCTGACCCGCAGCGATCGGTGATGTAACATGACATCACGTGCTGAGGAGCCGATACATTGACGAATCTGATGACGAGCGAGGCTGCACACCGAGACATTGGCGAATCACACCGAGACATTGGCGAATCCGATGACGAGCAAGGCCGCACGCCGGAACATTGGCGAATCTGATGACGAGCGAGGCCACACACCGAAACATTGGCGAATCACGCCGAGACATTGGCGAATCTGATAACGAGCGAGGCCGCGCGCTGAGACGTTGGTGAATCTGATGACAAGCAAGGCCGCACACCGATACATTGGCGAATCTGATGACGAGCGAGGCCGCACACCGAGAGAGCCTCACAACTTAAAACGCTTAAGGAACATAGAACTTCAGGGGCCGTTCAAACGGACGTCGTGCTTTCTGGAAACTAATGTGCTTGGAAACATTGATCGCAGCAAAAAGCATAGTTCAGAAACAAGGCCGTTGTCTTTTTTCCTGTACAATAGGGCACTTGCCATCGATCTCATGCAAGTTATATGAGCATGCATGACTGTCCGGCGCCATTTCAATGTGAACTTAGTATGGGCGTTGCCTTACATTCCCAGAGGCAGCCGAATTCCAAGCGGTGAGACGTGTAAATTACAGTCGAAGCGGTGCATCAGCGAAAATCTGCTAACTAAACTCTCAAGAAAGACGGACTTCAAAGGCATCGAGCGTGCTCGCTAATATGGAGACCGAAAACTTACCTGGCCCAATCAGTTCAAGTTTTGGCATCATTTACATGAACAACTGTATATATCACGGACATGAACTGTTAAACATTATGCCGTCATCAGATAAAAGGGCAATTCTTAAGATCAGATTAAGTCGAGCTCGGGCTTTCGTATCCGTCTATTTTTTCCGCTGTTTGGATGTGTATGCTGCATACCAGCCATTTTTGTGTGAATATAGCAGCTGTTACAATTTATTTCTCACAAGTGGGCGAAACAAATCACATTGGTTCAGCGCCTGTGGAATAACCTCACATGACCTCTGATGATGATCGGATGTTACCTCGTATGTTGTGACTTACCCTTACCGCCAGGCAATCAAACCAGTCAACCAGCCGCTTGAAACCTAGCAAAAGCAGGGCAGGGAACTACAAAGATTGCATGTTGAAGCAAGTATTGGCCTGCAAGCCTCAAATGATGTCATAACTTATTCATCTACGCAAACATCGTAATTTGTGCACTCTAGAATCCGTAAAATAAGCACTCGCCAGACATGACAATTTTAGCTAATCTTTCGATGACGTCCCGAAAGGCAGGGGGGGGGGGCTCTTTGCCTGTTACTGGACGGCTGCAGGCCAAACTTTACGCGCTGAACTGGTACAAAAGCTTCCCGCACAACTCGAACGCAGACCATAGAAGAAGTGGGTAACGGCAAGAGATAGGTGGAGCTCACATGCCCTCCGACTAAGAGTGCTGCCACATTGCACAAAGCCAATTACGCTCTGCTGACGTCACTTACACAGCCGTCTGTACCGAATCTGGTGTGAGGCACCGAATATCGAATCTGGTGTGAAAATTATGCAAACCTGGTACCCGTCCAGTATCAGCACACCCATAGCCCTACGGAGTCGTGCTCACGCATGTACATGCGAGCACCAGCTAAGTCCAGCAGGACACACCAGCACCAGGACCATTGCAGGCTAGTACCTGCATTAGTTTCGTCATTTCAGTTATTTCTTGGTGTCAGTGGCAGCAATATTGTGCACTTAGGCACCAAAGGCACTGGCGTTGTCCGCTCACGCACCCATCAAGTACCGCCAACACGGCAGACGCCTTGATACCACTATTAGTGCAGCTTTGCACGGGTGGAACGCAGGGCAATGGAACGGTGGAATGCATGTGAATACCGTGGATCCCAGGTGCTCGTATCAAGCCTGTATCAACAGCCATTCCTGCGAAGTTAATCAATATGCTGTCCGTTCTGCTCAGTTATTGTGGATCAATCGCGTCATACGGCAGGTGAAAACCTTGACGTTGTGACGCATCGGTAAATTAATCATCAGTTGATATTGGCAACACGACAAACAAGCGTGAGGCTTATCGAGGGCGCTGAACAATGGCAGCGCGTCAAACAACACGGCCACTTAAAACGACGCTGAAGTGTCTAAAGCGCGTGGTGCCATCCATGCTGAGTTACCGCATGCCGGTTGATGACATGTGCCTGCAGCGCAAACCAGTTGCACCGGATGCGGAAGAACATGAGCTTCGTGCTCGTGCCACATACGGAAGTTTGAAATAATGCCAAATTCCCAACGTTCTTTATGCTCTTCAGCTGGTAAACGCAAGCTAGCTGGTACGTCAGCACACAGCGATCTAAAAACGCGACGTAATTACTTCCAGGCAGCAGAGGCTCTCGCAGCAACAATCGTAGAAACGGACAGAGTCGCAAATACGCCGCTGTATGCAACACCCGAGAGCGCTGCCCCACGCCTCCGAACAAAAGACAGACCCCGGAGAAGATGCTTTAGCGCAGGCCGCACATACGGGTTAGGATTCACCTGCTACGCTGCAGCATTCCTCCCTAGATGACATTTCAAACAGGAAGGAAGCAACGGAACGGCGTGCTGCAGCTCAGGTCGAGCTCCGATTACTGCTCCGTTCTATAGATCTTATAGATAGCGCACTGTTCCGTGCTCGGTTATTTGATCTTAGTATGTTATAGGTCTTACATAGATCTTATAGATCTGTAGAAGACCTTATATATCTGTGTAAGATCTATACCGAACGCCGTTCCGTGCTCGGTTATGGGTGCTCTATTTATTTCGTTAATTTCTGTCATGATATTTATTCTATATATCTTATTCATGTATATGTGTCATATCATTGTGCTCGGCCAGTAATCCATGTTGTGAGTATGACTTGGCATGGCCTGACCAAGCCATTTATGTCTGTATTTTATTCACTTGATGTGCTTTGAAGAAGAGCCACGTATGTGAATATGTTGCGGAATACATCTTAGTGCCTGAAGCTTGCAACGGCTGATTGAATGATACCAGAATCATGCGCCTGTAATGATTGCAATTTTCCACACGCTTTTACCATCGAGTTTTCAATGTGCTTTGTGTACGTTTATATTTATTAATGTGTCTGCGCCTCATGTAAGCTTTTGTATCCTCGCATCGACCAAGTAACGGTCCTTTGGCACATACATGTGTTGGACTTTGTGAAACGGCATGCAATAAAAAGCGCCAATAAAAGATGACAATTATGTCTTTTTTGTAAGAAAGCGATGTGGTCTCCAAACCGGTGACAGATGGCAATTAAATGAATCTGTCAAGCACTGACCGTGTCCTTAAATATCTGTCGCACAATTTTCGGCTTTGGGACAAAAGGGGATATGACCAATGCGATAATTTTGACACGGCGCATCTGCCCTAACAGTGACGCGGTGGGCACGAAAACGATTTCAGGTAACTTTTGCTACATTGATCAATGATTTACGACGAAGGGGTTACTTAAGCCAATGATTAGGGCCCGCCTTTTGAGGTACGGAAGTCCAGCGCATGCGATGCGTCACAGCATAGACAACGGCGGCTCTCTGTTCCTGACTACCGAACACTTAGTATAAAAGCAAGCGGGTGCTGAAAAAAAACTACATATCTGATTTATAAGGATGGAGGATTGCTTGTTGAAATACGCGATGTGACCACCCAAGCACCAGCCCTGAACAGACTTATTTAAGATCGTTGGCTCCTGATGAAATGCTCGCTAAGCGCTGCCTGTTTCAAAGGACGCAGTTTCAACTGCAGTTTCAGGTTATGTGTGTGAATGTATCAGGTACGACTGCGCATGCTAACGCAACTCGACTGACACCAACCCAGTGAAAAGCCACAAAACTCTATCCTGCATATGCAGGGAGGTCAAATCCCCTGACCTGACTGAGACGCCGCCATACGCCGGGAGTTGTATCGCCAGGGGTACACACACACACGCACACACACACACACCCATCGCACGCACGTGCAGCAAACGGCCCGTGCCATCCGCACGCGGTTACCGATTACGGTGGCGAGCATTTCACGCTCCAGAACACATCAATCCAGATGCGGGGTGGAATGTCAATGGGTCATGTCGGCGCTAGTTATTTGCACGAAGCCAAACATCGAAAATTGCCACTGGGAGCCAGAGGGCAAACAGCGTCCCAGTGCGATAGCCTGCAGTTACTTCTGTTGACGGAGTCCCTATTGATCACTCGTGAATGGTTGCTTCGTTGCGTACTTCCCAGTGCGGACCAGACGTGTCATGTCAGCACAATGATGTTGGTGAGGGGGACAAAGCACAGAATTTCGGGAGGCGCTGGCATCCATTTTTTAAAACCTGCATGCATGTAACGCACACAAGCCATCGTTCATGTCATGTTCACTTAAAGTCAGGCACGGTTGATTTCGTGTAGGTCGGCCCAAAGCATTCAGAACACTTCTACGAATTTTGCTTCAAAAACAAGTTTACGTTGCCCGAGCATCTGCTGCGTGAATTATGTAAGCATCAAAGGGCACATGTTATGACAGAAAGTTAAACAACCACTTAATTAAGACATCCGCAAGCATATGGTGTAAACAACGGAGCTGCACAGAGAGTGACTATTACTTCCTTTAAATGCTTTCCTTCTAATCCTGGAGTTTTGCCAACGCTCTGAAAGAAAAAAAAACCAACGCAAATCTGTTCAAGCCTTGTGACAGACGTCTCGAAACTTCCTAAACTCATTCCCTTACTTTGATTATTTCAGTCTGGTGTTTAGGTAGCATTCCTTCTTGTAATATATGATGGAAGAAATAAAGCAGAACTCAAATGTTTATCTTAGCACTTCCGCGTGCGTAAGGTACCAACGATACACAACTTCGAAGCCGGCTATACCGCATAACTTAGCCTCAATAATTCACATTCAGGCAGCTTCGGCACGGCGTATTTGTATCGTGACGTTCCACCATTATCATTATTTGAAGCATCAGTCGAACATGATGCTTCAAATAACGCCAAACGTAATCATAGCGTCAGCATTTCGTCCACAAGCTGCGCTAGCGACAACTCTCAAGCCATCCCCCAAACAGCACCAAATACACGACAAACCTTACCCGGACGAGGGGCCTGCTGCTGCCCCGTCTGGCCGACCCCATCTGGTGGCCGTGGTGCCAGGCCTGGTGCCACTGCTGCGCCTGCTGCTGCCGCTGCTGCTGCTCCGGCGCCGGCGGGTCGGACGGGTCGGAGCTGCCGTCGACGCGCCGCCTGCTGCTGTAGTAGCGGTAGAGGCTGAGCATGCCGCCGGCGGGGCCTGAGCGGAGTCCGCCGGCGGCGCCGGTTAACGAGGATCGATGGCGGGTCCCCGCCGGTGACGGGGCGGCCGATACGCCCCGGGCCCCGGTCACCGCCGCCGACCCGGCCGCTGCCGCCCCTCGGGACCCCCGGTCGCCGCCGACAACAGTCGCCGCTGGAACGACGTACATGACTCATGCGGGCCACGGCTCGCCCCTCAGGTCACATGTTGGGGGCTGTTTGAAACGGCAGCCCCCTTCTCGCTCAGCCACTTGGCGGCCGATTCTGACTGTGGGAATACCGTGTGCTCGCCGGGCTTGGATTAGGGCTGGAAGCGTCTGAATGACTTTGCTATGGCGGTGTAGCTGAAAGCTAAGATGTTGATTTACTTGGCCTGACTTGAGAACGGACATTCTCTGGCTGCCTACAAGGCATGACCTTGATCAGTCCAAAAGCAGAGCCTTATCTGAAACTTGTTAGCTCACACATGACTGATATCACATCGTTGTAATCAAAAGCTCGGCATAGCACACAACAGATAAATTTGTTCTGAAGGGCTTGGACTGCAAGTCAGCCTTCTGGCAGTTTCTCCGCCAAAAGTACCCTATGCGAGATTTTGCACGTCAGGGCAAAAACAACAAAAGTGTCACGCCATGCACTTAAACAAGCATTTGAGCCGTATGTGAATGGGTCGCCACTGTTCGCTCCGTGAGCTCCGTTGTGCGCCATTTGAAAATATATTTACCCGTGCCACGTGAGCATATACCACGACCCCGGAACAAAGTTCTTTAACCAAATGGCAATCAAGAACACATAGGCCCACTTCGCGACGGTGAGTCAGCACAGCTGGGACCAACTTGTCTAAGGTAATGCTCCTCGTATCGATTTAAGTGCCAGTACGAATGCTGTCGTTCTAGGAACCGCACGGCCTCCTAGACGGTCATAATTGCGGACCTTGGGACGTCGAAAGCCTCTTTAACGTTAGAGTTGAGCGCGTGACGGAGATTAGCTACGGAGCCAATTAGAGGGTCATGCAAGATCTGGAAATTCAATATACGTCGTGATTACTTCATATGTATACCGGCTGTGGCAATTAAGTAGAGCAATCCCTAAACCTAGTATGGTATTAACGCGTGCCAGTGAAATGCTAGCGATATATCCATAACTATAACTGTACGTAAGGTAATTGCATGTGTCAAAATGTTTCTAAGATTGCGTGTCCATGTCAGCGATTTCCAGACGAGAGGCATGCAAACCACCACTGAGCTCATAAAACGTGATAAATGACTCAAAACATGCTTACGATATAAAGCTGTCCAGGGGTGTGATGTCCCCTACCGCTCATTAAGGCGCAAAATGACCGACGACAAAAGTCGACGCGCCCTAAAACCCCAATCATAATCATAATGCTCATTAAGGGAATGTTTCACATTTGAAGATGTTACAGCAAGTGTGAGATGTGATGAAACAAGCTCACTTATAGCAATTGATATACTTTTCAAGTGGAAAAGACTGCTCTAGACTGCACAATTCTGTGTTTAGTAAATATGTCCCTAAAGCGCCATGGCTTGATTACGTACTTTGCACAACAATGATTGAAAGCCTATTGACGACCGTTATATCTGGAAATCGTGCACACGGACGCCGGATATTAACTACTCGACCATCATATTTTTCTCGGCCTTGATTACCCCAGGGCTTATGAAGTGCCAGGATTTGAATGAAGTTATTATGCCGTCTCGAATGCTAAGGTGACTTTGTAATGCTCTCTCCGAAATACTCTCCGCATTTTCGAGGGAGTGTAGCTCAGAAATTAGAGGGGTGTAGGTCTTAAGATCGGCATGGCTGTGAACTGCACTGAAGGGTCTTCAAAATGGCTATTTTAATTCAAAACCCCATATGAATGTGAAGCACTCGCTTTAACACTCATATGGGAGGCCGGTTGAATGCGATAGGTTCCGGTGTTGGGGGGAGGGGGAGGGGGGTGGGGTGGAGGGGGGCAAATCGACCTCATTGAATAAAAAGGCAAAGTTGGATGTGCCTAATACACAGGATATAGGTATTACTATAAATGGAGTCCGATGAATTACTTGGACGCATGGACACAGTTAGCATGTCTTAATTTTTACTGTACTTGTTCTTGTGTTTATGCCAATGTTGCGCAACATATTTTGCATTAGTGTTTCGCACGCAACCAACTGACGCCTTGATTCAGATTTCAAGCAAATGCCATTTAGGGTCATTTAAGGTCAATAGCACCTTATGAATTTTAGAAGCACAAGTTAACAACAAAATATCTCTTGACGGCAAGTACCTCAAAGCAGAGGTAGATCAAAATCATGTTGGGTCACTGACCTCCACTGACCTTCCTTAAGTCAACATTAAGCACCCGTAAATGCTTTTGTGATCAAGGACTCCAAGTGTGCGCCAAGAACTGCCCCATGAGATAAGCTTTTCCATCGAAAAACTGTTTGACTTTAAGCTTGATATCACTTGACCAAGAGCCCAAGTTCAAGGTTATGATTTTGAATCCGGATTGAAATCCGCTGTAACAAATCACATGTAGGTTACAGGAATTCGTCCAAAACTTTGCTATCACATAAAGAACGCTGACCTAAGAATTTCCTTCAGTGACAACCACGACATGACTGACCCGCTACACGTCCATGGCCCTGAATGAGATGTCTTTTTTTGTGCACCACAAGATCGCGTTTTCACTTATCCACGGCTCTGCAAAGCTTGACGTCGCCCCGCCGCACTGTTTTCAAGTATCTTTTTTGTAATACGTCAGGAATAAGTCAAAATAACTCAGCATTGCACGTGCTGAAGGTAACGTAGAATAAACAGAATCGGCACAAATCGAGGCGCCAGAAGCATAAAGCTTTTTTGAATCTTGCGTGCATGTTCAACTTTCCAAAAGCGCTTAACTAAACCATTGCACACAATCACGAGCTGATCATTATGCCTGACAAAGCTATTTTCCATCTTTATTCTTTTCTTCTTTCTGCTTTTTCCATCGCTCCTTGTCCATCCCCCCCGCCGCGTCTATCTCGTCTGGTCCTATTCGTGTATTCCGTGCGGTGGCCGTCTAAAATTCCGCTGCACTTCTGCCATGCTATGACAAACGGGGCTAAGCGTTATTTTCGGAAATGGAATTATTCACATCGTTCCTTGCAGGTCGAAAAACTGTATCTTACGACGAAATATGAGAACTTAGCAAAATTGTCTCCAGAATACGTGCCAATTTTTTTTAAAGCATTTAAACACGTTTAACTCACGGAGGCCTAACGACATTTATTTTCAACAATTTTCCTGATGGCGCTTTTTATTTTTTTGCCTCTGGACGGCAAACCCCTAGCGACGCGTGCCTTACTGAGGCACCACCAACGTGGCTCTCAAATATCACGCACTCCAGCCTGCTGCGTCGAAATCCTGGTCCCTCTCACCTGCCGTCGGTGGGGGTCCTCGTGTTGCGTCCGCTCCGTGTCCGCGCGCGCGCACGTCTGCCCTGAGGTTCGCTGTGTCACACCCACTGCCGTGGGAGGCCACCGGGCCCCCGGCACCTGTTGGAAACCGCTCGGAGCCAATTGCATGCCGGTAATGGTCATTATGTGTACGTCACAAAACAAGGGCGCAAATCTGACCGGTTCTCAGGGGGTAATGGTGTTTTGGGGTAAGTCGTGCTGGCGGGTTCGCTGCTGGCGTGCGCGATGAGCGAGGGGGTTAGCGACCCTCGGGGCGTGCCCCCGTCCTGCGCACGCCTCTGGTGATGCAGCTCGGGGCGCCACGCCGGCTGCAGCGCGCTCATAACTGGCCGACGGGCGTCAGTCACGGCGGAGCTACCGTCGGGTCGATTGCAACGGCCAACTGACGTGCGTGAGTAGTCACGGCCGGTCAGAAGGCTCAGGGTGTGGCGCGGGACAGCCGCCCGGCACCGGACACTCGCCTGCACCCCTGGGACCGGCCGGGCGGGGCGCGGTACGGTGCGGCACCCGCTACCAGGCACAGGACACCCCCTGTACCCCCGTGACCGGCCGGACGGGGCGCGGTTCGGTGCGGCACCCGCTACCAGGCACAGGACACCCCCTGTACCCCCGTGACCGGCCGGACGGGGCGCGATACGGCGCGGCACCCGCTGCCAGGCACAGGACACCCCCTGTACCCCCGTGACCGGCCAGACGGGGCGCGATACGGCGCGGCACCCGCTACCAGGCACAGGACACCCCCTGTACCCCCGTGACCGGCCGGACGGGGCGCGGTTCGGTGCGGCACCCGCTACCAGGCACAGGACACCCCCTGTACCCCGTGACCGGCCGGACGGGGCGCGGTACGGCGCGGCACCCGCTACCAGGCACAGGACACCCCCTGTACCCCCGGGACTGGCTGGACGTGGCATGGCACGAGGCCGCAAAGGCGTGAAGGCAGGGCACCGAATAACAAGCAGTTATGGCGCCCTCAAACCCAAACCAACAACAATAGGGATCGAGGCAGAGAGCGGTCCCCACGCCACACCCTCTTTTCCTGGAAGCGGAACGCGTTCTCCCAAAAATACATGGACTTAAACTGTTTGAAAATAGATCAGCATCGAAAGAAAGAGGCTTCCCCATTTCAGCGAACGAACCAGTGGCCGCGCCTGTCGGCCGTCGGCTCTGAACGGAGGAGTCACGGCACGGCCCACAAAGCAACATTGTCCTCTGAAGCTGCCCAGCCGCGCGTGGACGTTAGTAGCCGACAGTCCAGTGTCCATTAGGCTTTGTTCTCTGTGAGACATTACCGCGTGGACCCCTCTATGTCAAGCGCTTTTAACATCCAACGATGGTTCGCAGCACGTATGGTGTCACGCAACTGCTCGACACCACGAGAGGTATCACGTCGCGGCTCGACACCACGAATAGTGTCACCCTACTCCTCGATACCACGAGTGGGGTCACATTACCGCTCGACACCACGAATGGGGTCGCGCTTCTGCTACTGCGCGACACCACGTGCATGCAGTCACCGAAGCTCAGCAGCGGAGACGATTGTGCTGAAAGGCAGGTGTTGGGAGTTGGAATGCGGTACAATGAACCGTCGGTGTCATGGCGGTGTCTCGTGCAATATTAAGCCAAACATGAAATACACTTGCTGGTCGCTTCGAAACGACGGGAGGAAAATAGATCCAGTGTGTTCAGTCTTACACGACAGTCCAGCACAATAAAAGCTGCATTAAATAAAATGAAATGAGAAAATAATGGCGGCAAGCGCCCTTATTAACTACATTGCATTTTTTGATTTTTGAAAGAAACGTGAACGTTGAAAGGCGGCATAACAGTCATCGGGCGTGCAGGTTTTTGCAACAGATTGGGGCATAGCTCATTACTCCCGGTAAAATCAACGCTATTACGCAAGTGGCGTGCAACATTTCATGCGCTTCCATTGCCACGCCGGGTCTTTTCAACTTTGGGTTAATTAAACGGGCCAACTGTTTTCGACTCCGTGTAAATTGCATGGCCCAATTCCCATACATGCAGGATGTGGTGTGATGGTTCCTCAACACTTTGCCCTTTTTTGTTGTCTCAATGAATGATGCCAAAATATGCGTTTCTTCACCTGAAGCTGCCGCCCTTCTCCAGATCTAAACGAAGTCAATGCTGTTAGAATGTTGTATATTTTACCAACGTTCTTAATCTGACGAACGAAAGCATGCAACTCACCGGATATGGAAGCACAGAATAGCGAGGTTTTGAGGGCTTCCTCATTGCCATACACTTAACTTCAGTGTATTATTTCCGAAGAATCTCTTGATACACTTTACATATGATGTTTGAGAAACGCTGCGCCGGCAATCTTCCATGCGCCCGCAGTCTCATTTTAAAAGACCATGCGATATGTATGAACGATAAAAGATGAATCAAATGCGTTCACAGATTTCTGCGCCTGATTATTATGATACATTATAGCAGAAACATCATCATCATCAAGTTGCATCTTGAGGTTCATGACTCTTCTAGACACTTCGGGGATAACCCATTTATGCAAATTATAGCCATACGCTTTTGTGCTGTGGCACATATATGACAGTGTCACGAAAAAAACAATAAAACCGTTCACTGATGCCACCGGAGTTCTAAGGTATTCACCGATAAAAATGCATCGCAACATGTGCCGAAATCAACGTGATTAGTGTTCCTCACCTCCCCTTCCAGAACCGAGGTGCGTTGCAGTGCTGTCGTTTGCTACATGATTACTCGCGTTAAAGTGAGCGAAGAAGAGATTTGGTTTACTTGAAGAGATGTAAACATTGGAATAAGCTTCACCAAAAGCCAGACAACATTTAGTAATTTCGTGTTGTTTACTTGTATCAGGATCAAGATGCCCATCACACCACCTAGCCCCCATCAACCTGCCCCCACCCAGACCTGGACCTGCCCCAGCCCGGACCTGCCCTAACCCAGACCTGGACCTGCCCCAGCCCGGACCTGCGCATCAAATTGAGACAATATGCGATATACTCGACACGTTCGCCGGTCTGCTCACTGATGCTTGGTCGAGAGCCAGTAGACCCTGACGTAGTCGATCGGTCGCTACTGCTTGGTCGGGACCCAGTAGACCCTGACGTGGTCCGCCGAGCTCTGCGTCCCCATAGGAAAGCCCGATCGGTTCCCGGTGGGCACTAGAAGCGGTCGCGTGATCCCGAGCCCTTCGTGAGACGACTGCCCCGCACTGAGCGGGGCTCCCGACACGTTGTGCCCCGCGTGCACAACGCGTGGGAAGGCCCTATGTGGTGCGTGAGCCGCGCCGGGTTGGACGATGTGTGGTGCGTGGGATCTCGTGCCGAACGACGGAGGGAGCGAGCCGGGCACCACCCGCACCAGCATCGGCCGTCCGTACACCACCTTCGGGGAGGTCCTGGTCTGCCCGGTGCCTGACCGCGGGTACGGGAACGGCCAGACCACGCGCACCCTCTGCGGTTGCTGCGCCGTTCCGGCCGGCTGAACGGCCGCCCCCGGTACGCCAACAGTGGACCCACCCGGCGCGGCGACAGGCCGAGGGGCCGGCGACTGCTGCGGGATGGACTGGCCCACGGCAGGTACGGGCCACGAGGCCAATCCATCGGGTCGGATTGCTTCGGCGCCGTAAAAGGCGTCCAAAAACTGAAGCACGGCCTGTGGGTCGTGGCGACCGTTTACGATGCAGGATGGGCACAGGTTCTGGTCGGGGAACTGGATCTTGGGGTGTAGTGGGTCCTCAGTAATGTCGTTTGCGAGCCGTTTGTTGACCTTGTTGTGAGCCCCGCCACAGCCAGAACACAGCGTCGTACGCGTTGGTGACGTCGAACAAGCCGTCCTGGGCTGCCATCCGCTGGAAATGCTGGAACACACGGAGACAGCCTTATCAGCCCGTGCGTGAAACTGTATTCTCAAGTCCGAGCCAGTATACAGACGCAGACAATCCGTTCATGCCTATAGCTCAGTTGGTTTGATGTTTATTTTCGATTATGGACATTAACCAGTACATAATATGATGAGTGGATTGGCACATAAGCGGAGCGCTTGAATCTGAGCGCCTCTCCTATAAATAATTAGATATGGTCATCGCCGCCAGGGAACCCACACCACACCACCCACTCGCCCAATCTGTAAGCCGACACGGGCCAGGCGCCCGCCGCCGCTCCGGTCTACACACACAGCCGTCTCGGGCCGGCGGCGGACGCCCGGCCAGCAACGCCACCCAAAGGCCTGTCTGCTGCCTGCGCCCGCTGGAAGTTTTAAAGCGAATTGTTTGGTCGGTCCGAAAAATAAATGTTTGGAAAATTTTTGCCATCTGCTGCCCATTGCGATCCTGTAAATCACTACCTCTGAGATAGATACTTAGTTGCTCGTAGTGAGTGAAATCACAAAAGTTTGGAATGATACGATCTGCTTTACGTAGCACTGAAATTCGGATTTCATGATAGCTAGGACAGTTCAGTACAAAGTGTTTAGGGTCTTCATATAGATAGCCACACAAGCAAGAGGGACTAGGTGTAGTTGGATTTTGAATTTCGAACAGGTGAGCATTCAGGTCTGACATTCCCATCTCAGCCCAGTATTTAGGATGTTACCATGCCTGGATCCAAAGCTGTGGTACACCGGAGGCGCGGCCACAACGTAGCCCTGGTGTATTTCCCGTTTGAAGGAACGAGAAGACTGGAGAGATGGTACCTCAAGTGAGAGCTGGTTCCACCTTCTCGTAGTTGATGAAATATAGGATTTTTGGTATGTTGAGGTTCTGTTCGGTGGTAATGTGAGTGTCATTGCATTGCGTAGTGGGCGTCCTGTTGCAAGTGCTCGTATGTCATGTAGAAGTACAGTAACGTTTGTTGGCAGTAGATGTTGGTCGTGTATGAGGGTGTGGAACAGCGTCAGTTTGTGTATGTTTCTTCATGATTTCAGTGTTCCATCCTAAATCGTCCAACAGTGCGCGAGTGCGTGTTCTGTATAGGGCGCCTACCTTCTGATCCGCATACCTTAGGAGGGGTACGGTTCTAGCCGCCCAATATGCTCGCAAGTTGGCCTTGCAGGCAGCGTCGGAAATCCATCCATTCAAAGGGTTCGAATCAAATCTTTAAGAGGTCCATTTACAAGGTTTGAGTTAAATCTCAGATAGAAAAGAAAACGCATGCCGGAAGGCTGGTGACGGCTCCAGCCATGATGTTTGATGCCTAGCCGATGGACCAAAATGGTGCGATTGATACCAGAGGCCACCGACATAAAATATGAACGAAGATTATCTGAGCATCCTCCCTGCTGGGCTCACAACATCCTATGAGACAGGAGCCCATCACTCGAACCCCGCACACCGGCTTAATCTGAGCCTGGATCGGTATCTGGACGAGGCGAACAAGCGACGCCCGGTTCTCCACGCACCTGCGAGCAGTGGCTGCAGCTGAAGAAGTTTTTGACGTAGCCGTGGATAGCCGGCAGAACGGTGACCGCCCGGCCCAGGCGCTTCTCCGTCCGCCGAGCCTGCACGGTGACGGTGTGGAACAGCGTCCAGAGGCCGCAGCTGTAGCCCCGGTAGCTCGGCTTCGAGCCGCGGCACGCCTGGTACGGCTGCAGCTCCGGCAGGCCCGCCCACGACGGCGTCTTCGAGCGCATGAAGCGCTCCAGCTCCTCGCCGGTCACCTTCTCGCGATTATCGACGAACTGCAGCAGCTGGCTGAGCGACTGCAGCATCTGCTGTCGGCCCGGGAAGTAGTTGACCAACATGCGCAGGAAGCCGCGCAGTGCCGTCATCCTCTCGCCGGTGATGTTCTGGTGGCTGGTGACCTCCTGTTTGAGCGCGCCGACGATAGCGTTCTCCATGTCCACCATGAAGACGGAGCCGGTGGGCGCGCGCGTGGGCGCCGGCGTCACCTGCGGCGGCGGCGGCGTGGCCGGCGCGGCGGTGGGGACGGCGCCCTGCTGACCTCCCGCGCCGACCAGCTGCCGCAGCGCTCTGCCGAACACCTGGCGCGGCTCCTCGCCGCGGCCGGCCGTCACCGTCTGCTGCCGGCCGGCGCGGAACACGACCAGCGCCGGCCGCTCGGCTGTCGGCGACTCCAGTCCGGCCGGCAGCCGCGTGGCGCGCGACACCCGCAGCGCGCCCCGGTGCCGGCTGAGGTCCAGTTGAACGGCGCGGCCCACCGTGCTGGCGGCCGACTCCAGCACCAGCGCCTGCACCGGCTCCGGCCCCTGCAGCAGCTGCTGGAGCGAGCCGCTGCCGGCGGCGGAGGCGCCGCGTCAGACAGACCAGGCCCGCACGCGGGCTAGGATGCGTTGGAAGATCAGTCACAAGAACAGGCAAACTCGACGGTGAGCGTGCAGTGTTGATAACAGGGGACCGAACACACTCGGGGAAATCTTGGACCTCCAGGGATGGAGTTTTGAATGTCTTTGGGGAGGGGGCAATGCTGATCTGCCCCCTCCCCCGAAATGCTGGCCTGAACCCCACAATACGTGTAACCTGGCTGCAATACTGTATCACATATCTGAAATAAAGAATGTTGAAGGGAATTTTCCGCATTTGAATGTATTGAGACAAGTATCAGGCATGATCAAATAAGATCACTTATAACTATTGGTATAGTTTTAGGTGAAAAATACTGCTTTAGACAACACAATTTCTCCGTTGAGTTAACATGCTCCTCAATGCGTCTCTGTTTGGTTACGTCATCGGACCTCGCACAACATTGATTGGGGGTCAAATGATAGCCGCTTTGTTTGAAAATCGTGCTCAAACGCCAGATATGAACGCCGCGAAACTCATATTTTTCTTGCTCTCGATCGCCACATGGCTGATAGAGCGACATAATTTGAATGACACTATTATGGCGTCATGGATGCCTGGGTGACCTTGAAATAGTCTTCCGAAGCCGTATGCATAGCTTCGCGGACGTGTAGCTTAGAGGCCAGAGGGGCTTGGATCTTAAGAATGGAGGGCAGCGAACTGTTTATCAATGACATGTATCTCTAAGTCGGGAAAGGTCCAACAGCTGAACTAATTGGTTCAAAAGGCTGCTGTTCTGTGCTGGTGAAGTGAGACGCCGACACTGCATCGTATATGGATGCATGGCCACTGCACGGATGTATGACCAGGTTAACAAGCCCAGTTTACTGTTTTTCTTCAAAAGATAAGTTTTTCTCTTTGTTTTGCTGAGGCTTATACTGAGGGGATTCAAAAGTTACCAGAAATTCATAATACAAAAGAAAGTACTATGCAAATAAGTGAAATTAGCCAGGAACCAAACGGCTGCAATCTACAGCGGATAACCCGCGGGTGCTTTTCGCTCTGCGGTGGTCCATTGGGTCCCTCCGATGAAACGGTAACAGTCAAGGGCGTTGCCGGACTTTCTCTGAGTGTTACAAAGATATTGAGCGGTTCATAAATTGAATACCAGAGTAGATCGAAACAGGGTTAAAAATTTACATGCATATGCCTAGCCCTTGTTCGCCAGAGAAAATAATAATTTATTGAGCATCAATCCGCGAAAAAATATAATAGCATGGTTCCAAGCACTATCTCATTTCAAGCAAATTTCACCTCGAGCAAAGCTCGAAATATTGAGCACCGTCAGAATAATCGTTGTTCAATAATGACATCGTTTGACTAGTAATGCCTGGTATATGAAATGTCGTGAACTCGGCATAAAGACTTTGATCTCGTAATGCCGAGAAACCAGGGACTGAAGCCCTTTATAAATCCTATATCCAGTCCAACTTATGACCGTGGAATGAAGTGGACGAAAACCGCAAGGAAATGCGTCTGGGAGATGGAATGGATAGATAAGGTTTATGGGTTGCCCCCCCCCCCCCCCGCTGCCGATAAGAAACGCTAAGGAGGGCAATATAAGATTGTGTCCAAAGTCCCGTGATTTTGGACGGAATTCCTTTGAAATCGTCCAATATCTAGCGCAGGCATCTTGGAACAAGGGGCGCAAGCAGGGAGGGGGGGGGGGGGCTCATGACCTACCCCATTGCTTCGTCCCACATGGAAACGGTCTTTCAAGTCAGCAATCCGACCAGCGCGTCACTTAGACACAAAGACATTAAAGCATCAGACCAACAAAGAGCCACAAGGGCCCATCGAGGTTGATCTACACTAGCTTTCTCACCCATCCTTGAATCAATCCTACCACCTGACCTGCCTGAATTTAGCTATAAATGGGACCCCTAAACGTATATAACTTGTCCAAACGATGTTTAACTGTCGCTAGGGAGGGACTTCCTACAACTTCGTTTGAACGTCCATTCGAGTGATTGCTTTCTCTTTGAGTAAATGACATCTGCCTCTTCATAATGTTACCCCTACCTTTTCCTTACTGAAACTGGTTTCCTCTAGTCTCGGCCCACTTTTGACCACTCACGTGAAGGGCGACAGGTCGGGCCACCCGGCCGGCCGCCGACGGCCGTGCACGGTCGTGACAAACTCGACGATGGCGTCCACCATCTGGCCGGGGTGGTGACGGATGGTGGAGGTGCCCGGGTCCCCGCGGCTGGCGCCGGGTCCGAACAGCCGCACCGCCGGCACGCCGTGAATGCCGTAGCGCCGACAGATGGCATTGTTGCGGCGCCGCGCGCAGTTGATGGCGGCCACCTTCACCACGGCACCCCAGTCTAGAAAGGGCGCAAACCAGCGGCGGCACGTGTGATAGCAGCACGAGCGCCCTCTAACGATCCCGTGTCTGATCTACGAATGTCTTGCGTGCCAAACGCTCCGAGCGGTTTGGCTACAGAGATCACCTTGTTATGAAATATCTGCACACAACCAAAGCATCTCTTACGCCACTTACTCAACTTATTCAATACTTCAGTCAATGTAATGCTTTCTTAGTGTCTGACACGCATGCTTAGCTACTCAACTAAGAATACATGGAGGAACATAACAATGGTTAAGTACAAAGGGGCGTCGCCTTTCAGGCGACATGTGGATCCCACGTCCCCCACCCTTGAACCCTCAAAACACACCCGCAGCTTAGCAGTAAGGCATACAGTGCGCTGGCGCGCGAGATAGACAGGTGTGACGCCTGCTATGGTATCTGCACACCATAGCATGCATTCGTAAACAACATCGGTTTCATCAAATAACTCTGCCAGCACCTTACAACGTCTAACCTGCAAACGCCCTCAGCACGTGGCCAATACCTGCGACACATATTTTCTGGTACGGACAGTTGGTAATGGCGCGTCCAACAACAGCAGTCAAACTGTCAAGCGCACTAGGTAAAGGTTTGATAAACAGCACGCGCTTGCACTGAACCTCATTCGGAGCTTAGAACTTGTGAGTATGAAAATCCGGATGTGAACAAAATAATTGTTAGCAGTGGAATTGGCCCAACGTTTTTTTTAGACCGGTAGCTATCATTCTAGATCACGATGCAGTTAAAATCAAGCCTGCGTTCCTCCACACGGGAGCTCCCAAAACCCCGCACTGCTGGCGCTTCTCTAATAATCTTGGTTCGGCCCGACGGTTTTAAGCCCTCTCGCGGGAAAATCAACAACTAAAGTTTCGTATATCTGCCACGTAATGTTCCCACACCAAATTTGAGCACAATTGGCAGCAAGGTAAGATAGCTAAACGTCGAATATGCCTCCGATGATTTTGCAAACTAGAGTCTGGAGGCCAGAATTTGATTGACTTTAAGTCTTGTTGGCAAGCAAATAAGACGCCAAGGTATCTTACCACTGGGGGTGCCCGTGCTGATTTTTTTCTTAGAAATGTAATCAAACACTTACCACGGGTAGCTCTGGGCCACAGTCTTTTTAAGCGCAGATTGCCGCAAAAACATTGATGCCACCACCCCAATGGGCCATGGGGTAGCCTTCAGAAGTGCCAACTGGGGACTCGGCGAGTAATGCTATCGTTTGACCAGTCAAATAATTCCTGAGAATAAAACCCCATACGTTGCTGGTTTCTCTTTACCCGTCATTAGAGCACCGCTTGAGTGCACCTCCATGCATGTGCAGTCCTGTCACAGTGCTGCTACAAGTCAGGTGTATCACGAACACGTCAGAATCGTTCGTCCCAATAAGGGCCAGGCGTCGCAGCGCTTACAAAAAAGGAACAAACAGTGAACATTGCCCGTCCCGATGGCTTCGTTGGTTAGACGAGCACCTGCCTCAGGTGCTCTTCCTTGCTCACTTGCCCGTGTTGGGTTGGGTTTGAATTATTTTAGGCACTTGAATCATTTAGAAGTTGTTTGTGCCTGACTCGTATTGCCTGTGGCCACTGGTAGCGGTCGCGCTAAAGGTCGCGTGACGCCGGAGGGCAGAGCGGCCCGTGCCGGGCCGGACACTGCCTCCCCTTCGGCCTTTAATCGCAAACTTTCCCGTTGACCCGACATTTCGCGATCGGCGGATGAAGGTCAGAGGTTTCCACAACAAGCACTGCTTAGCGCGGGTGTTAGCCCACAAAGCCATCCGATCAAAATGTTCAGGCTGAGTTGTAAGAACTTCACCCTAGCTGCCCACTTGTCGGCCCTGTTCAAACCTCGCTGTCTGTGTGCGGACCCCAGCAGAGCAGCCCGCATCAGTCCGTGCCTCACCCTTGGTCTGGCGCGCCACCTCCGACCAGATCGGCGCAAATTTCTGACAGTGTCCGCACCAGTCCTTGTAGAACTCCACAGCCCAGGCGTGGGGCTTGTCCAGCAGCGCGCCGAAGAAGGTGGTGTTGTCCAGGTGCACCAGGTGCCGGTCGCCCTGGTACAGGTCCACGCGCTCGGTGCTGATCCGCTGCGCGACCGAGCCTTGTCCCAGCTCAGTCAGCACAGCCAGCAGAAGCAGCAGTCGCATCATGTCTGCAGAGGGGCGGTGCAGCACGGTGACTGCTCTGATGGGGAACGGTGCAGCACGGCGACTGCTCTGGTGGGGAGCGGTGCAGCGCGGTGACTGCTCTAGTGGGGAGCGGTGCAGCGCGGTGACTGCTCTAGTGGGGAGCGGTGCAGCGCAGTGACTGCTCTAGTGGGGAGCGGTGCAGCGCGGTGACTGCTCTGGTGGGGAGCGGTACAGCGCGGTGACTGCTCTGGTGAGGAGCAGTGCAGCGCGACGATTACTCTGGTGCGATTTACAAGAGTTCTGGGCGTTTCACGCAATAGCAGTAAGCGCAAACAGCATTACTGACATTGGGGTTTACGATCCACCCAGCTGCTGAGGCTGTATGGCCTCGCCTGCCTGCAGCCCTCGCAGGAAGGGCGGACACCGCGGGTGGTCGAGCCCCATACCTCGTTTTTCCCGGGAGCGCGGCTAAACACCCGCTGGCATTATATGCACAGGTACACATGAGGCGGGAGGAGGCTACAAGTGCGTAAGTAGCGGGCCGCGCTGAAAACGAACAGCACAGATCTCGAGCTCAGGCTTAAGCGAGGGTAAGCCCTTTCCGAACGAATTCAGAGCATCTGGCATTGCTTCTGAGCTGCGCCAGGCGGATCTACCCAATTTTCAGACATTAAAAGATGATCAATTTTGCAGACTCTGGAGTGCACAAATGTCGATGAAAAGCGATGCCACCGCGTTACGGGCGTGATCAACGAAACCCTGCACCGTTCTCGGCTTTACCTGCAGGATTACTGAATTCCCTTCTGGCTACTGCTAGATTTACTGTAATTCGGTGAATGGTTTGGCCGTTCGTCAGTGTCAGTCGCAGCATGCGACAATACCTCAGCACACCATCACAGGTCATAACAGGCCGTCCTAGAAGCATCAAAATAGAAAAATGTGTTATCCCGTTGTCACAAATAAGTCAGTACAACTGACACGTCTCCAAACCAATGGTCTACATATATCATGTGGATGGGAAGAACAAAAACAAACACGTCCTATGCGGTGGCCCAGCCTTGACCAGATCTAAACTGACCTTGGTCTTATCTTGCGCTAATCCTCAGCGTTTATCAACGCCATGGTATGAATCAGGACTGCGCGAGAACGCTCCTCTGTTTGGCGGCAGTCGCAAAACATGCAGACCATGTCGCGATCACCGATGGTCGTGAAGTCATTTGAAGATCTTCATGCTTATGACGGGGGGGGGGGGGGCAATTGTTTGTAACCCGTGACACCTGTCATCATGTAAAAATTTAAACGTAAGAATTCCGAGTTAAACCTGAGAAAGTTAATTGTCTAACCGGATATATTTATGGATTGCCATTTCATTTTTGCCAAATGCGACCGTGGGATGCTTTTTATGATGATGAAAATATGAAAATGCGAGGGACTGCTTTTTACCTCGCGGGCAGTCACGGGTCACGAAATACCGTGAGCCCCGCCATTCCAAACACGTGTGTCGTGACACACAACATCATAGGCTTACCGGGAGAGCAGAGGCCTTTCGATGACAAGGTGGAGCCAACTGAAGTCTTCAAAGCCTCGCATGCACCACGCTGTGCTCAGGACGCACCCAAGAATAAGCAAACATTAGTAAATAAGAATTTGCATCAGATCTTAGAATTCAGCGCATACCTAACACCACCATCTTCCACGCATGAATAGGCGATGTTTATACACTTTGACCTTCTGGAAGGTGACTCGTGTTTATAAACGGAGGAGCTGGCGGACCTGTATTCGGATGAAGAGTGCAATGAGGTAGCCACGCAGGTCGGATCTATCAATAACATTGCCTCGGTTCTCCGGGGAAAGCGCAGTTGTTTAAATACAGGCGGTGCATTGAAAACGGCTTCGGGGAGGGGGAGAAGGGGACTAGTGAATTGCTCCCGCTCTAAGGCTTTTTTGCTGGTTTCTATGGAATGGTTTGGGAGAGATCGTTGAAAATTTCTGACTTCCCGAAACATGTTCCATACTTATCACGGGTGAAGCCACTAAATAATAGCAATGCCAATATCCCAAAATACGATTTTGTTCCCTTCAAATCTGCCTGTACAGTGCGCTTTTCGTGTAAAGTGATATTTTTATGCCAGGCTGTCCGCTTAAGTCTAGTTAAAGCCCAAATCCCAATTTATCTCCCAGTCTTAGAAATAAAGCAACACCGATCACACGTATCGGGTCAAAATGATCGGTATATCAGATATACATGGGTTGTTTCAGGACCAGTTATTGGGAGGCAACTCTCTTGAAATTTGGCAAAGATTATAACCACGCAAATTATACACGCATGATTATTTCTGCCAAGAATATGCGAAGATGGATTATGCAAGGGTGGTGATTTTCACAGCATGCTTCACATTGCCTTGTATTCAAAAGAGCAGCTAAAATTTTTGTTGAAGGAGACTGTTGCAGCACGGACATGCCCACTACAAGATGACGAAAGTACTACAGCAAAGTCGGTTCGACGTCTCGTGCTAGGTAGAGTTTTTAATAGTTATGTGCTTTTCAGGTCGACCTTGGAGGAATGAGGTACAAGCACAAGTGTTTCCCCTCGGCATTTAGGTGCAAACTTTACAATTCAGTCAAAATCTGCACACAAAACGGTAAAGATAACCAATTCGTGTTCATGTTTTGCGAAAAGGAATGCAGATTGCGTAGCCTCAGACCCAGGGTCCGATGCAGATAATGTAGCCTCAAATGGGCACCATATGACCGTCATAGTCGGTGCGTCCCGGAGCCCAAATCATCATAACAAAGCCTCAAACATAGGGTCCGCTGCAGGTTACGTAGCCTTAAACATAGGGTCCAATGAATGGGTAGTAAATCAACATACGAACACATGCTAATCTGGTGGAAGGTGAGAAACATGGTGCGCAAAGGCGCCGCCACGGATGAAAATGAGCTTCGGACATCCCTCGATGGAACGTTACCCCGTTACGCGGCATAAATCTATGGGGCTGCCTGTCCGGAATAAGGTAACTGTCCCCTGTCCCCACAGTTAACTCAGGTGTATTTTGCGTGCGGTCCACTGACATGAACGATTGTGCATGCGAGTGACAGAACACCGGTTCTATCTAAGTGATCAAAAAGGACCGATTCTGCAGTCAATTTTGAATTTACTTTGACTCAAGTGCAAGCAGCCCACGACGTGGCCTCTGCCAGGACTTTCGCTAAAATTGTTGAATAGGGATGGGTGGCGCCCCAGTGTTAATTCATCATCACTCGCTAGTTCCGCTGGGGCCAGCTGGACAGCAACAGGAACTGGCTTTGTGATTACGCTCCCGCTCTTTGCGTTGCGTTGCTCCCGTTCGTTACGTTGCGTCGCTCCCGCCCGTTGCTCCTACGATGGGCACAGTTTATGTGGTTTGGATCAATACGAAGGTTGAAATGGCTTAATAAGCCGAGCCAAGGGTTCTGTATGGCCATCCAGAAACCGGGCCATTGACGTCAGGACAGCTTGCGTGATCGATTCAACGATAACTGCTATCGCATGCGCTTCAGACTGTGTCGAAAAACCGGCCAAAACCTGTGTGGTGTTGCATGTTCCGGATCCATGAATCGGGCCTTGATCTTTAATCGACGCAACGCTCCCTCGAACAACGCAATGGAATTCAGATCAGTTCACGAATGCTATGGCAAAAGGATAGCATAATAAGATCAACGTAACATACGGTTGAACACCATCACAACTGGTTTGTTCCATTTTGCTTATCTGCATTGCCCATATGCTCCCTCATGTTTTTATATACTGACAGAGGTGAGAATAAAAGAGTGAACAGTGAATAGATCCCGCCGCCACTTTTCACATCATCAGCCAAGTTGATAACTTTCAAGTTGACCAGCTGTCGGAAGCTATCATAAATTAGTTCATTCGCTGTGCGTACCATAAACGGTACGTAAGCTACATACGGCTTGCGCATCTTTTGTATATCATGATTCAAGTGTGTATCCCGTCTTTTTGTAGTTCACCCGCTACAGAAGATGCGTGCGATTTGATTAGTAACACCAACACTCTAATGTCCTTCTAAATGGCTTAAATTTTGATTTTTAATTGGCCGACCCTGCAGAGGAAATCTCAGTTGACTCCCTACTCACCACCATGAAAGTAATACATTCAATTTGTCTTGCTATTTCCAACGTGTGTATTGCGCAATATTTGCCACACACTCACGTGTCATAACGTTTGTGTAATACATGCCACGAAGACTTGAAATACTTTATTTAGAAAAAGATACGCGAACATGAAGCCGCCATCCCGCGAATTCAAAGAAACGTTGATCTAGGACCTTGATATCTCCCCTATGGCGCTCACCACAGCGGGCCTTTGCGATATTTTTGTTTAGTTTATAGTTTTTTTAGCTTTAAAAAACTTGGGAATGAAACATCTTATGATCCATGCGAAGCCCTGGTTCAGGCTTCAACTAACGCACTTCTCGATAACAGTCCTCTGCCCGCTGGGTCAATTACAAACGCTTTATTCGCGCCATCAGAGGTGCGCCCAGTGATGGTCGTGACAACGGTGGTCGCGGCTGCAGGGAAGAAGCGTAGTGGTGTTACAAAGCGTTGACCGCGTAAATTGTACTGGAAGATAAGAAAACAGGGTATTCTGTACTTTGCCGGTGCTGCAGTGGCACTACCCAGTGGTACTATTCGAAGTAACTAGTCTGTAGGTTTCACTAAGTACGTTTTTGAAATGTGCCTTGAAGCTGAGGAACTTCCTTTAATCGAGCACGGTTACTACAACCATCTCAACTTAACAATGCTGCAGAGGATTACAGGGTGCATGAATTCAACTTTAATTTGAGCTGAGCGTATTAACAAAGCTGCTGTTGTAAAAAAACACACGAGTTTCGTTAAATGTTGCACTTATGCATGTTATGAAGGAATTCAGCAAAAGCGTTCGCAGGTAGCGTTGTATAGCAAAGCCTCCCAAAACCATAACTTCCCGGTTTATCCTAGTACTTGACCCCAAACTGTTTGCTTAGCGATGATGTCACTGCAGGAATTACCGTGAAACTCGGACATAAGACGCGGTCAGCCTTCACAACGTGCGTGATAGACCATGTTTTGGCAATTGGAAGGAAGGCACTGCGTATTTGCAGGAGGAACAGGTTGCACCAACGCCAAGCCGTTAAAAACATGCAGCAAGCCCCGAGCAACGCTGAACATAGCGTCGGCCCCACGTGCCCGTGACTGCCCATTGACGCCGGCACCGAGAACGCTTAGAAAAAAAGATGTTGAGGTGGTGGTAGACATCAAATATCAACCAATCCTGGCATCCAAGCAGTGAGGCGTTTCAGTCGACCATTGCTATATCTTTTAGTGTCTTTCTGTGCCCATTATGTAAGGCTTTGGGAAAACCAGCCATTGCACAGTGAGTGGAACGTTGTGAACAGCTTGGTCAACATTTACACAAGTTCCGTTCTCCACACATGTGGCTCAATCCAGTGTACCTATTTATGAAATGTGTCATGGTGACATTGTGCACTGGGAAAGCAAAGTGGGCAAAAGCAAACTAAAATGTTTACTAAATTCATTAAACCATTTTTAGACTGACCATGAGTGTAAATGTGAATTCACTATGTGAGGATTATGATGGTTAGTGAATACCAAGTTTATTTATCATCATGTCAGGGTTATGGTGATTAGTGAGTAGAAAGTGCAGCAAACAATATACAGAAGCCAAGGTACCCTTAAAACAGAGGCACAACGCTGAACGCCACAGGGCACAAATCAAAGCCGTAGTGGAACGTTGCCTTGAGTTCGCGTAAGAATGGGATCATATTTGTACATATTTTTCATAATTAGGGGGTTTCAAGCTATCATACTATTTATTACACAATGATTTTGGTGCATTAGTATACTGAGGATATTACATAACACACACGTTTGAAAAACCCAAACGAATAGGAATTGTTAATGTTATGGTGTTGGAGAGGGAGCCCAGTGAAATTTCTTCCATCGAAGCGTCTTATTCAAATCCAATTTTTTAGCTTTTCAGAAGGATATCGAGATAACTGGTGTTGCCGATCAACCCAGACCCGCGTGGTCTACGTTAACAATGCAAAAAGTGGGATGCTACCTTCGAGACAAGCGGTGCATCACAGAGACGCCGGCCAATACTATATGACCGGAGACAGCACAAAATCGACAACGGCGTCACATCTCCGTCCGGCACAAGCATGATCCACAACTAAATGCTGGCTGTTCGAGTGCATGGAGAAGCGTTGCACGAGCAGCGCGTTCAAGTAACCCATTGGTGTCAAACAGCCTACGAACGTGAACTAACATCCACTGCACATTGCTGAGATGCGAGTCAACGTTACATGGCTGGTGGCAACACTACCCGCGCCGACGGCGTCGCCTCTCCGCGCAGCAAAGTCAGCGGGAACCGCTTGTCTGATACACCGACTCCATAGCGTACACATGTCTGTGCGTGGACGCTTTGGTGAGCCGGCCACAGTAAAGATGGCTATATGAATTGCCGTGTAATTTTCACACACGATGGGTTCCACCTAGCCGTGACAATATACGACATACGATGGGTTCCACCTAGTCGTGACAATACACGACATACGATGGATTCCACCTAGTCGTGACAATACACGACATACGATGGGTTCCACCTAGTCGTGACAATACACGACATACGATGGGTTCCACCTAGTCGTGACAATAGACGACATACGCTCGCGGCTGTCCGATAACGGAGACGGGGCGCAGCGCTCGCGAGAGGGCGCATGTCGTGGGGTTTAAGACGGTGGCACTAACAGGTTTTGGAAAGACCAAACCGTCGAAAAGATGCCGCAAAGCTACAGCAACAATGGATGTGGCGCCCTGATACGCAGGGAACTGCCATTTGGCACGAAAATTGAAACTTAAACAATTAAATCAGGACACGTTGCGTATCAGTCACATACTGATCGATATCAAGCGGCAAAAGGCCGTACCAGACACCAACGGCATCGGCCCTTCGCGCAGCCGAGCAATCGATAATCAAAACTGTACGTTTTTATTATATGTTCCGCGTGAGATAAACAGCAGTGCGAGGGTAATTTGGCTGACATCAGCGTTAGACAGGCTGCAAATGCTAAGTGAAGTCTGCTTCACAGCGTTCAGATGTAAGTCAGTGTCACATCGCGGATGGCGGCACCACCAGCGCCAAGGGCGTCGCTTGTTCACGCAAGGAAGTAAGCGTGGCCGATTGTCCTATCTGCATTTATCGCTCGATATTGTGATCACCATTGATCTACGGGCATGGTGATTATCGGGCATTATCACGCCTTGATATCAGATGTTACGTAACACCCCATCCGCAAGCTTCAAACCATTGAGAAATCGACCGAGGCTTAACTCATACTTAAACAGGAGATACAGGAGTCTCAGATCGGGTATTCTGTTTACTGCAACAGCAACTTCTCAAAATTACAGTCATTCCTGCAACGCACCTCACAAACTCCTTACGCGCCCACTCTTCCGACCCAGGCACAGCAGCGCGAGGACTCGACACAGTCTGCACCTCCAACACAGGCACACGGCACGCTCACCGGCCATCTGGGACGACATACCCCCACATCTCACCATCTCACCTGTCAGCTTGTTGGGCGACGCCTGTCACGGCTACTATGTGACGCCGTCGGCTGGCGGCACGGTCCGAAGGCCAGTCGCAGTGTCCGCGCCCCGTGCTGCCGCGTCCGGACGCGGAGTGCGCGCCCGCCCGCCGCCGGCGGCCGGTTTTGGCGCGTGACGCGTCGGCCCGGGCCGCCAGCGCCGGTCAGGGCACGGCTTCTGACGCGCCCACCACTCATTTCGGGGAACGGTGGTCCGAGCACGGCCGCCACAGCCAGTGACGCCTCTGAGCTCTGTAAATATTTGGCCCCGACGCGGCGGCATGCTCCACTGTCGACAGCTGTCCAGAAGAGAAGCAGGCGTCACGTGCCGCATCGCGGCAACTCGCTCCTAGTTGTACCACGTAATGTCCGGGGCACGTGCTGGTGGAAGCTTTCAGTTGCCAGCTCTTTTTAAAACTTCTGCAAGAACAACGTGCGGATCGGACAATGCGTTGCTGTTTTCGGTATGGTTACAAATAGAGCACTTCGCACTCGCGAATGATTAATGTTGGTCTGTTCGGGCGAGGCGCGATTTTTCTTCAGAGGGTTATTCATTCCTCTCACTGGCTACAGTGACGTAACATAATCTGATCTAATTTATGATACAAATGAGCACCCAGTTCAGTTCACAGCAAGCGATACTATGGTTTTCGGAATTATTGTGGTGAATCTTAACCCCGAAACAATCTTGTGCGCTATGAATGAGAAGAGAACACTCCTTTCTTAGGAATGCCTACGGAATAATCAACTTGATGAATGATCTAACGCATATTGAAATGGGGAAAAAGCGGAAAAGCAACAGCAATTGGAAGAACTAAGACAAGAGGAAATGCAAGGCTTACATGCTGGTTGCCAATAGAGAATCACTAAAAATCACGAGAAATATCACCGACCAGCCAACCACCAACCAAAGAATACCGTACCCGCAAATACCCACAGTGCCAATGTCGATCCACGTCACTTTTCATGTCATGTGTAAAACAACGCCAGTTACCTATTTTATAACCGCAATGTGGCAGAGCAATTGCATACTCTTCTTGAGAGTTAAAGACTGAAGATGTTCCCGCGACACAGGCGTTTAAACAGGCTCTTAAAACTGTGATAAGCGCGAAAACACCAGACAGTGTTTGATCCCCGTTGAATTCTTTAAACTGTTTTCGACTGCCTCAAGCATTTCCACTTACCGAGTGTTCTTGAGCTGATAATCTGTGAGCCATTGCAGAAAACTATGTTTTGTTTGGTTTGTAGCATAAAGCTACCAGGCACCATGAGGGGGAAGGGTATCAACCCCATCCCTAGAAAACCAGGCACCATGAGGGGGAAGGACATCAACCCCATCCCTAGAAGCCAGGCACCATGAGGGGGAAGGACATCAACCCCATCCCTAGAAGCCAGATTAACTCATGTCATCCTATGACGCTGTTAGATGTCAGCTACAAGATAATGCTAGGAATGCTATGCAACCTCTGCAAGATGGTGGGGCCGGGTCAGACAGATCCCGAGCAGGCAGCTTTTTGTTGCGAAACCGGTTTACTGACGACAACATTATGATTACAAATGACAGAATACAGAACTTCAAAGAAATAAAGCTTCCCAGAATGCTCATCAGCTCAGGTTTCGTAGTTGCTTTAGCTCGAAACGTGGTTATTTACCCGACAGGTTAAAGATGCCGATTTCCACCCAGTTGCATCGTCTGATTTCATCCAGCATGTGTGATCTTCTCAAGAATCTGATGCGATGGGCACCTACCCGAGAAAATTAGGCTGCACAGATAGTTTGATCGAGGTAGTAATCTCAGTTGTTACCTTTTGCGCAATAGGTAATTGAATGTCTTACCAAGGAACTTCATGACGGAAACGACATTATATTTATAAGGGTAGTCAAGGTGGAGTATAGCATATGGTGACGTATAAACATACGCCTAATAAAATGTCGTGATAGACCGACGGCCCACGTACGCACTTCTGGACGACAACATTTTCAACATAAGAGCCCTGTTTCAATGAACTTGGCGTGTTCGCTAAGCTCTGTAGCACCCATCTAAAGGAAAGAAAAGGCGCAGGCAATATGAGTTGGACATATTAAAAATATGTCACACTGCAGCATGACCGGCAGCTAGAGGGGATGACCAAAATATGGTACACTGCAGCATGACCGGCAGCTAGAGGGGGTGACCAAAATATTGCGCTTTGCCTTTCAGAACGGCTGCGATAACATGCTCCACCACAATTATTGTGATAAGCTAAAGGCTACTAGCGAAACAATCTGAGAATAGCAAATATAAACTCCCACTTAAGTGTGACAAACACAGCTGTTAAGCCAAAACCTCTACCAAAACGAACACATTTGTGCGTGGTATTGCCTTTCCCCCATTCACATTATCTTCAATAATTGAAACATTGGTATTTCGTGTATCTCAACTAAAAAGTGATGACTAAGTGAAAAACAGCTGTCCAACGCAACTTAAAACAGGCATGGCAACGACTGACGCGTAGTCCCCCACAACTGTTTTAAACGATGTCGCAAGTCAGGAAGCAGATGACCTCTACGCCTAAAAGGAGAAGATCTTTTCATCTCCTCTGGAGGAGATCATCTCTCACCTTGGAGATGGACTTAGATTCATTGCATAACGCTGGCAGTCCGATGGACAATGCTTCCTGGAAAGAGCTCGTCCAGACCCTTGCAACATTTAATGAAGCTCACACACTCAAAGACAATGGCATAGCCTCATGTCCAGTCTGGTGCTCAGACCACAGGCAATTTTGTAAGGATTGGAATACGAGGTGGCATGCACCTGGGATTCGTTATTCAAGTGGTTTGCCTGGAGAAGATTACGTACATATGAGGTGCCGACTGCCGAGCTAAATTGCTACTAGACCCAGTGTCTCTTGATCCCAAAGGACTTAGGGAGAGCCTTCTATCACGCCTGAGGTTGTGAGGGCAAAGAGTAACACAGCCAATTATACATTTCACATAGTCTTAGGCGTAAACACGAGTGACACGCTGCATACGAATTTGTCTGCGATCACTGAAACACATACTTTGGCCGTCTGTATACCACATGTCCAAAGAAAGCTCTTGGCCCCTTTAAGTCAATACCAAATTGACGCCAGCAATTTTTGTACTGAGATGCACTGCGGTGCGTGAAATGAAATGCTGAAAAAGTGTGGTTCAGCTACTAAAAGTTTTATGTAGGCCGGTACAGCAATGCCTGTGCCATGTTGACTGTTTCTTTTGTTTCATCAGAACGAAGTGGGCAATTGCGCCAACTTCCGGGAAGCATTCCGTGTGACCAAACGTGACCTTTTATAATGTCATCCGAGATGACAGAGTATAGTGATCAATTTGCTTCCACCTGTGTGCTGTACTGAAATGGTGATACCGCATGCGAATTACAAAGATTATACACTTGTTTTAGCTTCAACTAAAACATGTCCTTGGTCTTTGCCCTCAGATCATGATCATTGTGATAGAATTCTTGCTCAGAATCTTTCATCAAATCGAATGTCCTGAACCGCGTCTCGAAATCGCCACCCAGTCCTGAGATATTCAGAGGTATCGTTCACAGCGCCCTTTACGCGCGTTTTCGGCGAGGCTCAAAACCAAAACACATTTACCTTGTTACTTATCAAGGTAGGTCATGTAAGCAAAGGTCCCAGGTCACGAGGCAAACAAGACAAACAAAAAGAAAAAGTCGAAATTGCGAAAAGGTGGATCACATCATGGTAAGTTTTATCAATATGAGAGCTATAAAGAAGACTCGGATCACTTGGCTACAAGATATAAACTGCTGAAGACAGTTCTACAGCGTACCGTCTTGAAAATATCCGAAACTTTAAGTAACTTGAGGGTGGAATCGTGTTTACATTATTTTGTCATGGAAGACCAAATTTTGTCATGGAAGGCCTCCGATACGAAGTCGTTTACGTCTGCCGCATGGTTTAACTTTACTGCTTACTTGCTCAGGCCAGGCAGTACTGGCAGTAATTGGCACCAGATCAACACGGGCTACGTCGATCATGCGACTGATCATGCGTAGTGTTAAGCCGTGTACATCCATGAAGTGACGCAAAAACCCTATGGCAGACGCTCGGGAACATATATAGTTATATGCATGGATGTTTTCGCTGCGAGGGCGCCATTGGTTTCTTAGGACGCGCTCAGGTGAGGCAAAGTTGACCCTCCTCCACAAAGTTCTTCCTAGAATTACTTCCAAACTCTGCGTACATACCGCGCCACACGTTGCAAAGCTGTTTAGTTGGTCAAGTTTTTACAGTGAGTATATGATAGCCAGCCTTTTAGTATAATACAACTAGGTGTACCTTGCCAGTCACTGGCGTATGGCTGGTAGCGAATACAATCTCTAGGAACCGTTGAATCTGATGTACAACAGAGTGTTAGATAAAGCCATTCACCTTTGAAGTAGTTTCTTAGACAATTAGCTGATGCTCCAGTGGTCTTAGGCCAGGTATGAGGTTCAGGTCGATGTTGAAACCAAATCACCCTTTTACTGGGAACTTGGTTATTTGGGGTTTTTTGACGCTTGTTTGGATTTTCTTGACCGCAGTGACGTTAACAGTGTCTTATTTAGAGGTCATACAGGTCAGAGAAGGTCACTTGTTTTTAGGAGCATACCGCCTGGCCACACTTGACACCAGCGCTGACACCGGCGCTGACGCTCGCGCCAACTCTCTCACACCACTGGAGACACAAACCTGACGACGAGCAAGTCAAGCAACAAAACTATATTGCAAAAACGCGCATCCACAGTGCGCGGCTGGTAAGCCTGTGAGCTTGCAATACGCTGGTAAGGCAAGTGATCTGATGAAAAGGTTTATAGGGGCAAAGCCCGTCAAGGAAGCTCTGGGACTTCGCGCCCTGACGCCCAGAGATATGGTGCATGATGACGCCTTCCAGGCGGCAATGGCGACATGGTTCACGACTTCCGGTACGGAATATGACCAACAGGACCAGGCGCTGGCGCTGATTACGGTATATGTTTGGGATTTATGTGCTCCACGAAACATTTTAATGCAACTTGACGGTGCAGACACATGTACTTGCACCCTGTTGGTTTATTCACACCGTGCACTTCATC